TTGTATTTTAATAAACTTAATTTAAAATTTTTAACCTAATTTTTTAATTTTATTAATTAATTTCTTAATTATTAATAGTAATAATTTTAAATTTAACCCCTTTTTAAATATTTATTAATTATATTAAATTGTTTTTTAAATATTAAATATTAAGGTATTATTATTATATTTTAATTTATATACTTTAAACTTAAATTAATAATTTATTTAATTATCTATTTAATTTATTTTTAATATAATATTATTTTAAATTTTATTAAGAAATATATAAATTTTAATAAATTTTAAATATTTATTTAATATAATTAATATTTATAATATTTTATTATATTTTACAAAGAAATTAAATAAATTTTAAAATATCTTTTAAAATAATTATAAGAAAAAATATTTTAATCTTTTTTTAAAAATCATATATTTAACTAATACCTTAACGTATATTTTATATTTAATTATAGGTTTTCTTTTAATTTTAATTTTTTTAATATTATTTATAAAGGATTTTAAGGTTTTAAATTTTAAATAACTTAATTTAAAATATTATAAATTTATTATATTTTCTTTTTTTAATAAAAATTTAAATAATTTCCTTATTATAACTAATATAAAATAAATTATAAAATTAATTATATTATAATATAATATAAAAATAATTAATATATAAGTAAACAATAAATAGATCTTAAATAATTTATATTTAAAAAATAAAAAATTAATTTTTTTAATTAATTATTTAAAAATTACATTTTTTTTTTCATATATTATATTTTAACGTATAAATTTCTTTACAATATTATATATTAACTTTTTCTTTAAAAATAACTTTTAAAATAATATTAACGTAAAAGTCCTTTATTATAATTTTATTAATTAAGGTAAAATCTTATATATTAAATTTATTAAAATTATTAAATATCCTTTTTATAACCTTAATATTTTATCCAATAATAAATAAAATTAATAATTTAATTTTTATTATTTTTTTATCTTTAACTTTTATTTACGTGTTAAATTTTAAAAAGGTTTTATTATTAATTAAATATAATTTACCATAAATATTTAATATAATATAATTAATTAATAAATAATGCTTTAATTAAGTTAAAATAATATATACCTTATAAATAAATTTATATCATATATTTATTTTATTAATTATAATTATAATTATTAAATATTTTAAATAACTTAATCCATTATTATTATTTAATTGATTTTTTTTAACGTTAGGTTTAAACCTTATATTAATTTTCTACCTTTATAATTAATTTTAAATTTAAAATATTTTCCACTTAAAAATTAATAACGTTTTTTAATTATTTTATATTTATTTTTATTGGGTTAAGATTATTTTAATTAATATTTTATAATTTTAATTATAATAAATTAAAATATTTCATAATTAATAAGAATTTATATATAAATATTTATATTTTTTTTAAAATATAAACAATTATAACTTTTTTTTATTAATAATTTAAATTAATTTTAAAATATTATATTATTTTTTAAAACAGTTAAAAATTGTAAAAAAAATTTCTTTAACAGTTTAAAGGTTTTTTTTACCTACTTTATAATTATAAATTCTTTAATTTATTTAATTACTTAATTGGTGGCTTATTATACCTTAATTACCTTTAAGAAATTTAAGGTTATAATACTTTTTTTAATTTTTAAGATCTTATAAATACATCCGTTTTTATATAACATTTATTATTAAAAAAAATTACTTAATTAATTTTATCTTCTTAACATATGCTTATTAAAAATGGTAATAATAATCTTTTTATAATTTTATAATAGTTAATAAATTAATGGGTTAAAAATATACCTTAATTTTATATAAGATATTAATTATTAAAATAAAATCGCTATTAATGTATTTTAAAGTAATAAATATAATAATTTCTTTTTTAATTATTTTTTAAATATATTATAATATTTAATTTATTATTAAAGTATTAACTATTTCCTTTATTTAAATAACTGTATATTATTTTAAAATTTTATTAAAATTTTTATTTAATATAATAACATTTAAGATTGTAATATTAATATTTTGGATATTTTTAAAAAGTATGTTACTGCTTTAACAAATAGCCTTAACTTATTTAAATATATTTATTTTATTTTACTTAATTGTTTTTAACGTGGGAATTTTAATTCGTTTAATAAAATTTGAGATAGGTATATATTTTTTAAAATCTATTTATTTTTAAATATTAAGTTATAAAATATTTTACTTTATTTTTAATATTTAATGTAAGTAATTATACCTAATATTTAAAAAGATTATAAAAGTTAAAGAAATAGTTTTAAATAAATTTTTGCTATATGAATTTATTGTAATAATATAAAGATAGAATAGTTATTTCGATAGTTTTATAATAAAAAAGAAAATAAAATAAATATTTATATTTATTATTATATAATTATAATAAAATTTAAACGTAAATTAAGTTTATAATTGTTAAAAAACTATTGGTATTATTTAAGTATATATAGTAATTTTAATGTTATTAAAAGGTTTATTTTTTTTAATATAAAATGCGAAAAGCGTATTCTTTTTATAATTAATGTTTATATAATAAAAGTGGTTAACGCTTTAACTATTTATAACCGGTGTGGCAATTACGTTATACCTACAGCTGTGGGGCCCGTGCACCGTGCGATAATTAATTTATCTTAATATTTTTAATAATATATATTTGGCTTAAGTTTAATCTTAAATATATTAAAGTAATATTTTCTCGTATTTTTATATCCATTTTTGTAAAAAATATTTAAAACGGTTAATTATTCCTTACACAAGTAAAACCTGTTAATATTATAATTATAATATTAATTAAAAATATTTATAATAATATTTTATTAATAAATTATATATTTATTAATAATCGAAATTGATAAAAGTTTAATATTTAAATAAAATATAATTGTTAATTATTTTAATTATTTTATAAAATCGTTTTAAATATTATTTATATTTAATTTAAAAATATATTTACATTTGTATTTACAAGATTATCAATTACGAATATTTTTATAATTATTAATGGTATTAAGGAAATTATAATTAAATTTGTTATTATTAATGTAATTATTATAATGTAAGTAATTAAAGATATAAAAAATCCTTAAATAATAATAAAATCGGTAAAATTAATAATAGCTAAATTAATAAAATATTATTTATAAATATTATAATTAAATATTTATTTAAATTTACATTACGTTAATATAATAAATAAATATAAGTTTATGTTATTTTTAATAATTTTAACCTTTAAATTTAAATATAAATTTTAAACTTATTTTTATAATTAAAATTAATTATATTAATAAATAGGTTAAGTTATAAAAAAATAATTTATATTATAAATTATAAAACTTTAAAAAAAACTTTTTTATTTAAAAAAATATTATTTAAATTATTAAATTTATATTATTAAACGCGTTCGCTAATATAAATTATAACTTAATAAGTTAACTTTATAAGATGAATAATATAATATTAACGTTATTTTTTTCATTATATATAATGTTTATATTACAGGCAAAACTTAAAAAAATAATAATAATGATATTATTAACCCATTACACTTATATATTATTATATAAAATTTAATTATTTTAAAATTGGAAAAAATAAATATTAAAATATTAAATAATATATTAATTATAAATTATTTTAACATTAATATTTATTGTAAAAATCGCTTTTTTATTAAAAAATTACAAATAAATTTATAATTATAAAATTTATTAATAACTTATTATAATTAAAATTATAACCATTAAATAATAATCATAAACTTTTAATAAATATTTAAATAATAAAAAAGAATATTTTAAAACAAAAGATATAAATTAATAACAGCTTTAAAAACAAAGATACTTCACTATTTTTTTATTATGTTTTATTTAATAAAATTAAAATTATACCTTATATTTTATTTTTAAAATCCCTTACACTATTATCCATGCTTATAATATTTTTATAATTATTTAAATTTATAATGGGTTAATTTATTTATATAAAAATACTTCCATTAAATTAATAAAACATATTATTAAAACTTAAGACTAATATATATAATACATAAATTTGTTTTATTAAATTTATTATAATTAATTATATAATATTTTTATATATAAAGTCGTAATTAATAAAGTACTTTTTTATAATTATTTAAAATTAAAATTTTACTTTAATGCTTAATATAAGTATATTTTCATTATAATATTAATATTAACCACTTTTATAAATATAAACTTAAACCGAATATTTTTTATAATATTATTAATTATAATTTAAAAAAACGATATAAACTTATTAATAAATATTTTTATATATAAATATAAAAAACTTATTATTATTAAAATTATTAAGTTATTAATAACGATTTTATTTATAATATCCGTTAATACATATTTTATTAATAATAAAAATAATAATTTTATATTTTATATTAATTAAAATATTAATTTTATATAAAGATTGATATATATTTTATAACTATTTAATTATAACTTTTATTATATATAAATAATTATATTTTATAAATAATTAAAATTAAAAAAAATTAATAAATATTGTTAAAATTAATATAAATTAATTAAATATTTTTTAATAATTAATATAATATAAATATATATAAAATTTAATAATTTATTAACAAATAAAATATTATAAAATATTAATATATTTAAACGTTTATATTTATAAACGTTTATTAAAAGAAATATTTAATATAAATAAAAATATTTAACTTTTTAAATATTTAATAAATATTTATTATTATAAATAACTAATATAAATAAAAATATTCAACTTTTTAAATATATAATAAATATTTATTAATGTAAATAATTAATATAAATATAAATATTAATTTTTTATATGTTTAATAAATATTTTAATTGGTTTAAAATTAATTAAATAAAATATATAGTTTAAAAATCTTACTTAACGTTTATTTAAATTTTAAATCTTAAACGTTTAAAAGTATAAATGGTAAAATCACGGTTAAATAACGGTTTATTGGTTCTACTAAAGGCTGGTACGGTACAACGTTGGTAAAAGCTCCAGCTGGCCTCAATTTATCCATATTCAATATGGACATGTAAAGACACTCACCCACTACCTCAACACTCTTTTACTTTCTTCTCGGCTGGCCTGTGAAACTAGCAGCAAAAAAGCTTGTTAGAGGTGCATACAGTAAGTTTTTCTATAGTTCTAATGCTATTAATGGCACATTATTGACGTTCTATCCCAGATTCTCTCAAGAGACAAAGAAACAATAGACAATCCACTGCTTCTTACCTCAACATGATTTCCGACGACGATCTGTACTCCCTGGCCATATTCCTTGGCTCAACGGCCATGGTACTCATTGTACTATACCATTTCTTCGAGGTCAATTCGCAAGAGGACAGCACCCTGAGCGAGAAAGCCGCGAAATCAACACTAGCGCACCAGCCGGCAGCAGTGGGAAAGCAACCAGGAGTGACAAAATGAAGGAGACGGATATTATAAACTTATGGGTCCTAGGCGTTATATAAGATGCGGAACATCATCCGGATAGTTGTTCGTTCATGTAATCTGGATGTCCAGGGACGTGACCAAGCCATGGGTTAATAAGAGCTATTCTACGAAGGAATATTCTTTGATCAAATAATTTGATCGGTCTCGACCCGGATATCTGCCAGAGGGTATTGCAGTAGATGGACTGCTAGTGTACACTACTTAAGGGGGTGATGTTATATGTTCTAGAATGAGCTAGACAGCCTCTGTTTTCCTAAGGACCTACTAGCTTGTAGAAAAGACTCGAATTAAGAGATTACTAGACTAGGATTCGATTCCAAGTCATTTATCCCTTAAGTGTCGTATTCAAATCCCATATACAATGAATTCGATATTCCGTGTGTTATAGTGACTATAATTAAGACAGAGCTCTTAAGATATGGCATGGCAGATATGTATGCCCATGATCAAGAGGCCTCATATCGTTCTATTAATAAAACTAACTTATAGCTAAATAATCAATAAAAGGTTAGGTACCTGTTTAGCTAATTATTTCTTAAGTCGCGATAGATTCGCTGAAATTGCCCCTAAGGGACCTGAATGATAATAATTAATGCGCTATACATATATTTCGTATAGTTATATGTATTTAACGTATGGGTACCTAATAGATGTACAATACCTAGGTACTTTCAGTATTCAGGTAACAACACTAAAATCAATCATGTCCGACGTAAGAAATCATGCGCTAACCCTAACTTGGTAACAGACGCCACGTATAGTGGAGACTGTAGACGGCTCAGTGGATGATTGGGATGATTGGGAATGATTGAGCGACTCATTGTTTTCCACCCAACGTCGCGCTCCCTCCCTGATTTCCTCTTAACTGCGCCTCTTTCCAAGCAACCTCTGCTTTCTTCCACTTCATCAACAACGCCAACTTAACAATACATCTTCCCTCCTTCATAAATCCGCTAAGAAGAGAAGACTACAGAGTTGCTTCACCTTCAAATTTTTTAATTTTATTCTTTTCGGTTGCATCCAACTTCGTCAGCCGTACCGCCTTGTCGCCGCCTGCCAGCCCGCGAGACAATATTTTTCTACCATCATCTCTTCCACCCACCCACCAACTATTTCCCGCCATCTTATCCCTTGTGCAACGCGCATACGGTTACTATTCATCTCTGCCACCGCCAAATCATCAAGAATTCATCATCGCTGTTTATTAACAGCCGTTCTTTCGTAAGCCGTTGCGCTCGCATCGCCATATCCGTTAGGCCAATTTTACCTGTAGCCTGACCCTTTCGACGCGAATATCCCTCGCGTCGTTTTCCTGATCACATATAACCACCTCGTAATCAGTCTTAATCAACCATAATCACCATGTCTGGAAAGCTCGATCAGTCTCTGGACGAAATCGTCTCTACCCAGCGCCGCGTTGTCGGTAAAGGTCGCCAAAACCCCCGCCGATCTACAAGACGACCTGCTACAACTGCCCCTGTTGGTGGCGTTCAAAAGACTTCGAGGCAGCCTCGCGCCGCAGCGGCTAAGCAAATTCCTGCTAAGGCAACCGGCAGTGGAGAGAGTAAAGTGGTTGTCAGCAACCTAGTAAGTCATTATGCATAGTCCGGCTTCAGATTCAGGCTTAGCTAACTTCGTTTTAGCCCAAAGATGTGAACGAAGGCCAAATTAAGGTATGTTTCCTAGGGCTGTCGCCCGCGGAATTTCGTCGACATCTTCCTTGAAACGCACGCTCGTGTCTTAATCGATCGAAATGATTATCCTCTTACCCAGAGATGGTGTAATTTGACCAGTATGGAACTGTCAGAATGTCTAGTCTCCTCCGTCGACCACATGTGTATCGCACTACTATAGTGTCGGGAGTTGAGCTGTCCTTGTCGCGCACCAATATTGTTCAACCTCCGGTAGGCTTGGCAACCCTCCATGCAGGTAACAATGCGCAGGCGTAAATGGACTATAGCATATCATGACAAGCTGGTTGTCTCGGCAAACGAGATCATGATTCTAGCGAGACAACATCCTTTTATAGGATAATTACAACCCAACGAGCACAGCAGTGAGCATCAGCGTTACAGAAAATAATAGGCGAAGGATTTTACTGTCGATCTCGACTTAAGTATTATTGCTGTATATCCTATATTAGGCTATACGGGGCGAGCCTTTCCATCTTGTTCTTAGACGCGATAATATCGCATGGAACATAAAGGTTGACTGCCTGAAGACTGCCTGGAGGCAGTCTGATGGTTTAGTGGGAGATCATGTCCTCTTTTCGAGAGTGCATTCAACTTCTGGGACTGGGGGTAATGGTGACGGGTGGTTGATCTTCTAGAGTTGTTTACTCACTGTTGGGCTGGATGCTGAATACTAACGCTCACTGCGTGCTCGTTGATGTTGACTTACCTTTGGATGCTTAACCTGGATGTTTCTCTGTCGGCTGGGATCTCACGATTATCGATATTGCCTTATCGCCTTGCGCAAACCTCGAATGGGTTTCTTGATACTAACCTTCGTGCCCTCCATAGGAGTATTTTGCGACCTCAGTTGGACCTATCAAGCGAGTGGAGCTTTCTTACGGCCCAAACAGCGTAAGCCGTGGCATCGCTACAGTTACCTTTGCCAAACCCGATGGCGCCAGCAAGGCTTTCAACGCCCTAAACGGTCTTCTTGTTGATAACCGACCGATCAAGGTTAGTTTGTTATATTTCATTATCCTGGGCAATATGCTTATATTTTACAGATCGAGATTGTCGTTAGCGCCGCCAAAGCTGCAGAGATAGCACCTCCCGCGAAGACTTTGACCGAGCGCATCACCCAGCCTAAGGCCCAGCCCAAGTCTGCGGCAAATGATAAGAAGGAAGCGGCTTCAAAGGCTGCAGGTGCTGGTACTCGTGGTCGTAAGCGCCGTGGACCCCGCAACAGCCGCCCAGCCAAGAAGACAGCTGAGGAGCTCGATTCCGAGATGGCGGATTACTTTGAAGCTAGCAACCAGAATGAGAACGCCAACGGCGCTGCACCTGCTGCCACCAGCGGTGACGCCCCAATGGAGGATGAAATTCTAGTACGTATACTTGCAACTCCATTTCGCATACCCACTAACCAGCGTATAGTGAGTGGATGGTTTAGACCTGGATTAACTTACTCGGAATGGTGGTATTCTGCATCAACATCTCCTTCCATCGCTTGTACTGTAGCTTGACTTGATTTCATATTTTTTTTTGCCTTTGACGTTTAGCAGTGGTACCGGGAAAGGGGCTTGCGTTTATGAGGTCCGCGGGGGCTCAGTCACCAATGAAAATGCGCGATAGGGTTCAGGTAGTAATTCGAGAAGAGGATACACGATTCTGCTACTGAGTTTCGAGTCTTCATAATGTGTACGATATATAAGACGAGCAAGTTCTCATATCGGTGAATAGACAGTGCTATTGCTATGACTAGTCTGTTTTACTTCGCATAGACAATATGGTAAATACATGCATAATCGAGTCGTAAAATGTGTATTGAGCTTCGTTTCGAGATATATAAGACCGCAATATTTTGACTATTGTTCACTGCATGTGAGGGCGGGGAGAAAGCGGAGATGCTAGATGTAAGATCTCACGTGCTCTGCGGTCCTGTGTCTAAGCTTCTTGAGCTTGGCATATTCAACGTCAGGTCTCTTCATACGGCCAGGGACAGGAAGCAGTGAGACCAAAGCACGGCACGAACATGATTTTAAGGAAAAATATTTATTTCGTTAATAAACCTCTAAGATAGTACCAATCGAAGGCCTGAGATATTCCTTTTCTATCTAGAAAAAGGTTTAAAGATGCAGCCATCTCCTTGCACAGATCATACCCGTCCTCCGCGGTCTGTGTTTTGGTAAAACATGCGAGCTCTATTTAAGGGACAAACTTCTTAAACCTATACGGTTGTTAGTTCTACACTTTGTAGTCTAATTATTACATTGACTTACTTGCTGACGACCCTCTCGATACCATCGCAGCCCATCTTAAGAACATCCATTCTGGGGCCGTATGAGAAGCGGACGACTGCGATAGGACATTAGTACCTACGGAATCAAACTAAAAGCACGATCCTATATGGTAGGCTAAACATGTAAAGGGGTATGACTTACAGTGGTGACAAGGGCTGTCGAACAAGTCTCGGCGGCGAGAAGGGTTCAGGTCGAAGAAGATACCCGGAACGACAATAACCTTCTCCTCTAGACAGGCCTGGAAGAAATTCAACCCGTCTGAGATAGGGCCCGGAAGACCCTCAAGGTTGAGCCAGAGATAAAAGGTGCTATCCGGCACATACTTGATCACGAAGCCCATGTCTCGTAGGCGCTTAACCACGTAGTCTCGCTTCTCCTGCACGAATATGTCAGCTTGAATTAAGATATGAATGGGTATATACCGGGGGTTACAAACTCTAAAGTGGTGCTGAAGAGCCTCCATCTCCTTGCGGACAAGGGACGGCTCAAGCATGGGAATAGCAGCCTCTTGGAAAGGAGCATTGGCTCCACCGTCAAGATACGAACCGCAAGAACCAATGCTGAAGACACCATGTTAGTGCAATTCCCAAGTTATGATATATCTTTTTCGAAACACTCACGCCTTAATGAATTCCTTGGGTCCAAGAATCCAAGCAATACGCCATCCAGGGAGACGGAATCGCTTAGTGAGTCCATCGATAATAAGAACATCGTCCTCATCTACGTCCTCGATATTTTCAGCGGCTGAGATCGTGGTACCATCGCAGTTGCTGGTATAGTTGTAGCCCGAGTAGAACTCATCACTGACAAGAGTCGCGCGTCCGCGGCAAATGTCCTGAATCTCAGCCAACTCGGGATTGGCCACTACTCTGCCCGTAGGGTTTCGGGGGTTCGAGGTTATGATGACCGAGGTACCTCTTGCAATCTCTCTCGCAATCACGTCAGGATGGATGTGGTAGCCATCTTCTTCAGAGAGAGGTGTCGGTATGGCGGCAAACTATGTATTGTTAACGGTACTAGACGTTATAGTTCATGAGAACTATCTTACGTTCTTGAAGAGCGACAACATCTCGTTGTAAGCTGTGTAATCGGGAATGAAAAAGCCAACATAGGCATTGTTCAGCACAGCAGCGATACGGATCAGACCAGCTCTTCCACCAGGGACGATGGCGACGTTTTCCCACGAATACTGACTGTCCTTGCCTTGGCGGTGCATCTCGTTGTACATTCTGGCAACGGCGGCACGCAGAGGCTTGATACCGGCGGTGGGGCCATACTCTCTAAGAGCAACAGAGACGTCTATGGTAGTAGGGCGCTCAAAGCATCCCTCGATATCATCCTCAACTTCAGGAGCACCTTGACCAAGGTTGGCCCACTTGTCGGGCTCGTCGAGGAAGCCATACTCGGCGGCTCGCTCAGTACACCATACGACACCTGTGGAGGCACGTGAGGCGTCCAACCCTGCATGAGGAAGATGACCCGGGTTTGCAGCACGGAACTGACGATGGATCTTGGAACTCGTTTCTGCCAAGACACATTATTAGCGATTTATTATATATCGACCAAGACATACAGGGACAATAGCATGAAGATCACGTTTGCCAAGTGCCAAGACCGCCACGAGTCTATATTAGACCCGACACATGGACAGCAACGTGCTATCCTTGGCGGTATTACAGCATGAACGCACGTATCCGGGGAGCTAGTGTAGAGGGTATAGAAATTAAAAACCAAGATCATACCGTTGGCACTTGGGTCGCCGATACTGAATCTTCGTCGGGGAACACCAGTGTTCCGGTTCCTATTATTTGGTTTAGCAGTGTTATACTTATAAATAACATTATAGCAAGGCTTGAGAAGATATTGGCAATTCGTTATAGTGTATATGATGCGTGGCGAAGACTCAGCTACGAAGAGTCTAGGTATGAGCTTACATGGAGAACTTGCGACTGCCGAAAGACATGTTCGCGAGTTGGTTGGTGAGCCTGACGATGTGATGTCAGTAAATTAAAGAACGAGTTGGAGTATAAGATGGGATTTACTTGGCTAGATGTTGTCAATTAACCAAGAGGAATAGGAGTCCTTTAAAAAGGGACGTCAGTTGTCAGAATACGCCGCGGGATAGGTACAGCTTAGGTACAACTTAAGAAAGAGTGGGAAAAGGGGAGATGATATCGCGATAGTTGTCGGTGTGCCCTTTGGGTTCTAAAGAGAAAGTGGGGTGCGACAAAAGAGGAACGTCGTGCTTGGGGGGTGTTGCTTGGGTAGATTTCAAGGTTGTGTGGATCAGTTCAAAAAAAAAAAGTACACGCAGAAATCGAAGTGCCAACTTGAAGAAATAGGGAAAGTAGGCAAGTCATGGGATGGGGATGCGGGTCGGTGATCAATCAGGTCTGACATCAAATCTGTCCAATGCGAGAACTCACCTTAAGTTGTTTCTAATCGTAGAAAAGAAAAAAAAACAAGATAACCAGGCAAGACTGGGTCTGATATTGGATACTGTACGGCAAGTACGTACTGTTGTTAAGAGAAGGGAGAAGGTGTTCAAACTACCTACATAGTATTATTTTTCTGGAAGGTGTACCTCGTAAGGTAGGTCGAAGTAGGTACGGTGCAGTTGTGGAAGTGGACAAAATTTGGTGATTTGGTGATGGCGTCTACAACTGCCCCGTATCTCTTACTACATATCTCTTACGTATGTACCTACCTACCTGCAACCTCCAATCTGCATTCATTCTATGTAGGTACCTACCTAACTTTAGTGGGCGTCAATGCCACAGAACATTCGCCAATCCCAATTCGAAAATAAGACCTGTAGGAGACATCCCATCGATGTCGTAGAATGGGGACGCTGATCGATCTATGCATGCTACCCGACAATATGCATAATAAGTTGCGGTAGGGTTTCTGGTTACATTGCCTTCGTTTTTCCATCGCGTATACGGCATGTAGCACTTACACGTTAGTACACATAGTGTGAATGGATACGCTTGATATTCGTCCTTTGGTGTAATTCGACAATTTGAATCCTCATGATGGGAGAAACCGGAATTCAAATTAAGGCACGACAATCCAATCCATCCCTACCCACTACATACCCTCGTTACCCTGCCTCCTATATATTATCTTACCTATCCGGCCGCAGGAAATACATAGGCGTCCGCGAGTGAAACAACATTATGTTCCGTATTCGTACGACCCGCCGTGTCTTGAAGCTCCGTTCCAATGTTTTGCCTTCCCGAACTGTTCATTTGTTCATTTGCGGTTGGATAAAAGTAGGATCGTTGGTATCTAGGACAGAGTTGTTGGACCGGGAATTACCTAACGTGTCGGGTAATATTTGAAATACCTAACATACATGACTCGTAGGTTAGGTGGTTGGTAGGTTAGGTACTTGATCGGCTTATGGTTACGCAAACATTAGTTAGACCAAATGAACTTTTCTTTGGGGGGGTATGTATTCAATGGTGAGGGGCACGAAAGACCCCTCATCGGGGATCCCGTCTTCGTATACCGGGCTTAGTCAAGTGAATATCAGGTTATGTAATACATACCTAACCTAGGTAGGTACCTAGGTACATATGCCCCACATAATAATGTCTTGGCAGGCCCGGCATTGGTCACTGATAAAAAAAAAGTCAAACGCGTTAGAAAGTCAATTAACGCGTCTCGAACTCTTGGCGGCATACATCCGCATTTTGATAGCTTCAAGTTGACACTTGTGAATAATGTCCTTGTAACCAACCTTCAAGCACGTTAACACAATTCTACTATTTGCTCGACGAACGTACAGATAGATAATCGTAAATATGGCCCTCATAGTCGACAAGCATCGTCCTCGGTCTCTCGATTCTTTAACGTACCACTCGGACTTATCAGAGAGGCTTCGTTCTTTGGTACGTAGTCCTGATTTTGCGTGGTTCTTCTTCACGTCTAACCCAGCAATCTCCATCACAGGCCCAAAGCGGCGACTTCCCTCACCTCCTCGTATACGGGCCCTCCGGTGCGGGTAAAAAAACTCGCATTGTTGCGACTCTAAAGGAGCTCTACGGCCCTGGCGTTGAAAAGATAAAGATCGACGCCCGTGTCTTCCAGACTACCAGCAACCGCAAATTAGAATTCAACATCGTCGCCTCCGTTTACCACCTCGAGATCACCCCGTCAGATGTCGGAAATTATGACCGAGTTGTCATCCAAGATCTGCTAAAAGAGGTTGCTCAAACCCAACAAGTTGATCAGACAGCCAAGCAGAAGTTTAAGGTTGTTGTCATAAACGAGGCCGACCACCTAACCCGAGATGCCCAGGCGGCTTTGAGAAGGACGATGGAGAAATATAGTCCAAATCTACGACTCATATTGCTGGCCAACAGCACAGCCAATATCATTGCGCCCATTCGAAGTCGAACGCTCCTCGTGCGGGTTGCAGCCCCAACGGTCGATGAAATTGCGAATGTCCTGGCGGATTCGGCTAAGAAAGAGGGATGGCCTGTTGTGGCAGGGCTACACAAGAGGATTGCCGAAGAGAGCGGACGTAATCTCAGAAGAGCACTGCTAATGTACGAGGCGGTACACGCTCAAAAGTATGTATCTCGTCCGACCCATGTCACGACCTAGCTAACCGATCATAGCGAGAAAGTTGCAGATGATACGCCCATCCCACCGCCGGATTGGGAGGCATTAATAGCACAGATGGCCAAGGAGATTATGGAGGAGCACTCACCAGCCCGTATCTTGCAAGTCCGATCAAAGCTATACGATCTGCTCACACATTGCATACCCCCTACGACGATACTCAAGACGCTGACTTTCAAGCTCATTCCTATGATCGACGATGACTTGAAGTACGAAGTCATTAAGTGGTCTGCCTTCTACGAGCATAGGATAAGAACGGGGACCAAGGTGATCTTCCACCTAGAGGCTTTTGTTGCTAAGTTCATGCGGATAATCGAGATGTATTTAATGAGCATGGATATGTGAGTCAGTCTCACTGCTTCGTAGGGGAATTTCGTAGGGGAATGGCATGTTTGGTCTGCTCAGAGCTAATGGAGTAACGGATGGCTTTATAACAATGGCGTGACGGAGCTACCCTGAAAAGTAACTGTAGTATATTTCGCGATGATGAGATAGACTTCGATCTACACTGAAATATAATAGGCCTACCGGGTTAGACGTCCGAGGACCGCGGTTGGAAGAATATGAAGCCGATTCAACATCCACTTTGCTAGCCGGTAATTCGGGAAGCGTCGTTGAGCGTCGTCTTGCATCGTCTCTCCGAAAAGCCGAGTTGGTCCCGGTCCACATGAGATGTCATCGCCCCGATGGCAAGATCCGGCAATAGTCACGTTTAAAAAAAAAAAAAAAAGCCGAATGCAAGCGACTTAAATACAGTACCAAGCGGACGGGACGGCCGTCGGGCGTGAGGCTCTGGGGGGTCACATAAATACAACCGTAACCGCAGACCATACGAGTTGCATAGCTCTACCTCGGTTAGGGACATGTCAATAGATCTTATCGCAACACATCTATCTCGGAAGAACGTGAATGGCATGATTTAGTTTCCAAGACTAGGAAGGCTTCTCCACGGTCATGGTGTAAGTGAGAACATACCGGGTGAAGATAGTAGCTAGTTCGCCTTTCACGATAATGGCTATATCGCCAAGCCATATCTCGCATGGTTAACCGGGGAAGAAAGAGTTCTAGTTAGTTTTCCCCACACTCTGGCCAACAAAAAAAACCGAGTTCTAGACAAGGGCCGAGAAAAGCTTGGCAAAAGGTGACGCTATTGCGATATGTATATATGAAGTAGACCAGCAGGGTCCAAGGTAACTAGGTTAGTCTTTTGTTCAGGTAGGATTCGGATTGAGAATTTAGGAGATATCTTTGTCTTCCAAGACAAACGGATGGTTCATTGCCACGTCCTATCGAAGGGTAGATGATACTTGATGACATGTATGTATGTATGTATGTAAGCAACGGAAATTGAATCCTTCTGAATGGGCACGAGGGCAACGGACCTGCGGAGGTATTCCCAGTAACAAAGATTAGCGTACGCTTGGCTACAAGGGGTTTGGTTTAGTCTGGAAGGCGAACGCGGGGTTGAGGGGTAAGGGGACGAGAGATGGGGGACAAAGCAGTTTGGAGTTCTTGTCGGTCCCTTGTTATTGGGATTTGGTGTAGGGTGAGCAAGGTCTTGACTAATAGGATTACAGAAGTTATTGCTATGGTCTATGGTATATACATACTCGTATATACATCCTCACGACGGTATCACAACGGTATCGCGACACCGAGGTTTGTACATTCTATACTTATCAAATGTGACCCATACCATTTTACAACCCTTGGATACATCAAGTGACATGTTCGTTCCCTACATACATATATCCATGCGCTAGCAATAATAGCCACGCGGTCCCAAAAAGAAAGCTATAAATCTCTCGTCTAGATGCCAATAAAGTACAACAGCAGTTATCCCCGTTGGACCGGGACAAATATTGAACTTCTCACCTCCAGAACTCCCCGTCCAGATCCGGCCAACCTTACAGAAGGGGGGATCAGCCCTGTCGACATACTGATAATGTCGTCCGGGACGCTGTTGCGATGCAGTTATCCTTCACCTTTAAATATTGCCCCGTAGTCCTGGTAAAGATCCATAAATCCCATAAATCCCATAAATCCCACGGTGCGGTCTCGCTATGAGAGAAAGATAGGTTACCATAGGTTATACATCCATCCGACTTCGCTATGTAGTAATGAAATGATGCTTGTTTACAACTTGTATGTACGCCTAGCTCGGGAAACCACTAAATAGGCAATCTACCAAATCCCCAACATGTCCAACATGTCCAACATCATAACCCGGCCCAAAGGGAACTGCGGCCTAGAGCTTCAAGTAGTCCATCCTACCCTTTGTACGTATTGCTACGTAGTTACGTAGTAGGGTATCTAGGCAGTTAAGGAGGGTGTGAGATCAATACCAGCCTGCGTGCGTCAAGAGTCAGGTGAATGCGCATCTTCATATTCCAAGCCCGCGAGAAAAGAACTGAGACGCTTTGGCGTCCTAGCAGGCCTGGGCATATCGCAATTAAGCGTTGGTGTTGAAAAGGTTCCATCAAATAGTCTAGAATGGAGAAAAGACGGGGACCGAAGGTATGGTACATGCCAGAAGGACGTCAAAAAGGGTGGCGCATCTACTAGGATAATTGATTGTTAGTATGTACCTATGTAAAGGTACGCCTGCTTTTTGACGCTTTCTGCATGCATAGGCACGATGCGGTCAACGGTCGAGCGGAAGAGAAAAGACCCACATGGTTCCTTCATTGTCCTTAGCATACCCCGGTCCGGGTCGGCAAATCCCCAACGAAGTCCAGTCAAGTGCATCTGGTATCGGATTAGCAAGGCTTGTCTTGACTGGTAGAGTCACGTTTTAGAGGCTTCTTTAGAGGCTTTTAGAGGCCAAGAGCTACATGTATGTAAGAGGCTAAGAAGCTAAGAGGCTAAGAGGCTAAGAGGCTAAGACATTAACGAACCTCGCCTACATGTACATAGCATGACAGGACCACGGAAGTAGCTATTTGTACTTTCTGTGTTACCTGCTGTACCTGGAACTGCATATGTGGGCGCACTATACCTCAATACGCTTTGCTTGCTACGTCCCGCGCCTGCTCATTCCAATCCTCTCCTAATAAATTTGCCGTAATACAAAAAGTGCCTCGCTCTCGTCACCTATACTTAATACTTAGATCTACCCGTTCGTGAATTGTCCTTCGTCCTTTCTTCCTTACACTCTTAACCTCGCACGAAGCTGAAGTGGTTCCAACTATTCCTATTCCTATATAACCTTGAAGCAATATCCTGTTCTAAATATCTAGACATCAGTTTTCATTACTCCCAACGGCCTTTTTCGTAATTTAGTACCCCGCAGTGCCTACAACTAAATCACCAGTTGTCACCACCACACCGTCATCACTCCGTTGTCATCATGGGTGAGCAATCCAAGTCGCCGGTGGTCGCCGAGGCCCATCTGGTTGACACCTATCGTGAGCTTTCCCCAGCCGTATCTGTAACCCCCTGGGCCGCAATGCTAACTTGAGCTTGAATAGACCCCCCGGCAAAGATGCTTGAAAGTGAGAGAGACCTTACTTATAGAACTATGTTTAATGCGTAAATCATAAACGAAGCTAACTTGGTTCCTAGAGCATCCTAGTAAACCTCATCTCGATAGTAAGGCCAAACTATAAACTACGCGAGAAATAAAATTAGACCTCTATTCTAAGGCGCATATAGGTCTCGAGCATTACCAACAGTTATACAAAGAGTCCATTACCGAGCCCGAGAAGTTCTTCGGCAGGACAGCTAGGGAGTTATTAACATGGCAGCGAGATTTCGAGACTGTTCGTACCGGATCCCTAATCGGCGGAGATGTTGCCTGGTTCGTCGAGGGTCAGCTCAACGCTTCCTACAACCTCGTCGATCGACACGCATTCAAGGACCCTAACAGGGTCGCGCTCATCTACGAGGCCGACGAACCGAACGAAGGTCGGAACGTAACTTATGGCGAGCTCCTCCGTGAGGTTAGCAGAGTCGCGCATGTCCTTAAGAAAATGGGTGTCAGAAAAGGCGATACAGTCGCCATCTACTTGCCAATGATTCCGGAGGCCGTCATTGCCTTCCTTGCAGTCACACGTATCGGCGCTGTCCACTCCGTCGTATTTGCTGGTTTCTCGGCCGACTCCCTACGTGACCGTGTCATCGACGCCCAATCCAAAGTGGTGATTACCACAGACGAAGGAAAACGAGGTGGCAAGCTGATCGGTACCAAGAAGATCGTCGACGATGCGCTCAAGCAATGCCCCGATGTAGCTGGCGTTCTGGTCTACAAGCGCACCGGCGCTGACATTCCCTGGACTCCGGGTCGCGATCTGTGGTGGCACGAGGAGGTCGAGAAATGGCCGTCATACATTGCCCCCGAAGTCATGAACGCCGAGGATCCCCTCTTCCTACTATATACATCGGGTTCAACCGGCAAACCAAAGGGTGTTATGCACACTACTGCTGGATATCTGCTCGGTGCCGCGCTGACTGGCAAATATGTATTCGACATCCACGACGGAGATCGGTATTTCTGCGGTGGAGATGTCGGCTGGATTACCGGCCACACATACGTCGTCTACGCGCCTCTTCTCCTCGGTATATCCACTGTCGTTTTTGAGGGCACTCCGGCCTACCCAAACTTTTCGAGATACTGGGACATTATCGAGAAGCACGGAGTCACCCAATTCTATGTAGCACCGACTGCGTTGAGACTGTTGAAGCGTGCTGGTGACGATTACGTCAAGGCCCATATGTCGAAGTTGAGAGTACTCGGGTCCGTAGGCGAGCCTATCGCGGCCGAAGTTTGGAAGTGGTACTTCGAAGTCGTTGGCAAAGAGGAGGCACAGATTGTCGATGTAAGTCGAAGCCTTTCGTTCTTGAAGGAATAGGTTCTAACAGGACAGACCTACTGGCAAACCGAGACTGGCTCGAATGTCATAACTCCTCTAGCAGGAGTAACACCGACAAAACCAGGCAGCGCTTCTCTGCCCTTCTTCGGCATAGAACCTGCCATCATCGACCCGATCTCCGGCGAGGAGATACACGGGAACGACGTTGAAGGTGTTCTGGCCTTCAAGCAGCCTTGGCCCAGCATGGCCCGCACTGTCTGGGGTGCGCACAAGAGATATATGGATACGTACCTGAATGTCTACAAGGGCTACTATGTAAGTATACAGGTTCCAACTGCCCCTCTCCAATTACTAACCACTTGAAGTTCACTGGTGATGGAGCTGGTCGTGACCACGAGGGTTTCTACTGGATTCGAGGACGAGTAGACGATGTGGTCAACGTTAGTGGACACCGTCTGTCGACAGCAGAAATCGAGGCTGCCCTGATCGAGCACCATTCCGTAGCCGAGGCTGCCGTTGTTGGTGTTGCTGACGAACTCACTGGGCAAGCGGTCAACGCGTTCGTAGCAATCAAGAACGGCAAAGAGTCATCGGATGCGTTAAGGAAAGAATTCATTCTGCAGGTAAGAAAGAGTATCGGACCGTTCGCTGCACCTAAGGCAGTTTTCATCGTGCCCGATTTGCCCAAGACTCGAAGTGGCAAAATTATGCGCCGCATCTTGAGAAAGATTCTAGCTGGCGAGGAAGACCAGCTTGGTGATGTAACAACGGTAAGTACCTTCTCACCCTCCTCTAGAATGCCTACTCATCGCGTAATAGCTTTCCGACCCCTCAATAGTTGAGAAGATCATCGCCATCGTACACGAGGCGAAGAGAAAGTGAAGCGTATAAAGGCTTTTGCTTCTTCTTTTTTTTCGAATTCTGATACCATTATGTCTTAGATATGCGGGGGAGTTGGAACGTATAAAGATCCAATTATTGACACCTATGTTTTAGCGGTTGAGTTTGTACTCCTGGTGTCGTGGCGCTGATACGACCATTAGTTGGATGATTCGGCGTTCTAGTTTCAACCAATGTTACCTAGTTTGGGGCATTGCAGTTGGACAGCTCCGTCAACGAATAGCTGAAACCAGCTCTGTGTATAGACAGCGTATCAACACAATAGTTGATACTAGCTAGTTAATTGCATTTTTGCAAAAGTATACTTTGCACTTTTTCACCTCATGAGCAGTATGTAAAAGGGGCGTTAATTAGCTCATTAGCCACATTACTATATAATACTAAGATGCATGTTGCACGAATCCAGTTCCGTTGCGTCCGTAGATATCCGTATAACTAGTAACACTATAGCAGCAATAAAGAAATAGCAACGTATTGGAAAGGCTAAGATGAAAGGCCGCGTCACACAAGTCTTATTTGAAGTTAGCTTTTGCAGGCCAGTTTCTTGGCAGAAGTTCCGACTTAGGGAGCTGGCGTCAGCGCTGGGCGCCATCAAAGAGACATAGACGGATTTATGGCCTCGGAGAGAGACTACTTGGTAACGAAGACGCGATTCCTACAGCGCAAATCACGGAGATAACAGACACACGGAATAACAGACATTGACGAAGAGTGGCTGATGCCGTCATTGCCGGAATTGGTGGCTGCAGTTAGTTTGTTAAGGGCGTAGCTATCCATAGCTGTACCGGTTGCATGTAGGACGCGGCTCGGTCCGATAGGGGGCCTATGTAGTTGAACAGAGACTACTTCCTAAACGATGCGGCCTTGCCCTCAATATAAGCAGCGTTTTCAATTGCAAGCACAACGGGAGTTACGTCGCATTTTAATCCACAGGCCTTGCCCGGGTAGGCTGCTCCTGAAACACCCCTACAGGATGCTTGCGGAGTAATCTGTATAAACAGTATATAAATAGTAATATGTAAGCCGGGGTTAGTTCGCCGCTTCGATACTTTATTAACTACTTAAATCTAGTAAGTTGCCGCGACATCAATTATGGTCATAGTCTATGTAGGTATTCATGCAGTTGTTCTGTAGGTTATTGATTACCTGTGTGCATGGACGACGTTGGTGACGAATTCGAGGAGAAGATGGTACATATTCTTATGAAGTAACCGTGCTGGGCTGCCAAGACGGTCGAAGCAACCAATCATTGTCGACGGTGTAAGTGAAGAGGACCCCGGATCTTATATGATATGTAATACATAGGTACCTAGGTTAGGTACCTAAAATTACCTACGTCCGGATCCGTACATACCTATCTTAATGTTCCTACGTGCATGCAGGTAAGTAGCAATTGCCCCGCTTCAGGGACTGTCTCACCTGCCCTTTGCCATCCTGCCATCTATGTAGCAATAATTCGAATTGATACATGACTGCTATTGGCTTTAAGCTGTCTTATGTAACTAACTATTCCAAAAAGCCTAGTTATTCTTTGCCTGAACTCTTTCTTCATGGCCAGCATCCATCCATTCCCAACCTAGGCACAGGACTTTTGCGCAGCCACACTTCCCATATTCCCACACTCTTTTTTTTTTTTTGTTTCTCCTTCTTTTGCAATTGAAACATTTTGAATGCTGTCTTTTCGCTTTTCTTCTTTCCTCAGGTTTATTAGTCAGAAAAACTTATCATTTGTTTTTAGCGACTGATATATACGAGGACTTTTGAGCACCGAACAAAAACACGTTCAGCCCGACGAAGATCCTAGCCTCTCTAGAACTAAGACCAAGCCTCCCTCAGCACGCCGCCGAGCCTATCTAGTTCGTCCTTATTGCGTGTAATTCACTTGGCATCGGCACTTACGGCATCTGTTGCTTGTTTCATTCTAGTTCCGCCTTCTCCTTGGAAATCTTAATACACGTTTGATGCTCTCTGAAGCATTGAAGCACTCTAATCGTTGTTCTTTCGTCGATCTGCCAACTACAACGATAATTCCCTGTTTTTTTTATAGTTCTTTTTTAATATTCCACAGTTTGTTAGTATCGCGCCGGCGCATGGGGTCTTGAGAACAAGTAATTGTCCTCGGAGCAGGGCTTCACCCATTCGATCATGCGCGGTATTCTCAAGGCTGCGGCCGTCATTTTATCAGCATTATCGCATTCCTCACTTGCTCATTCCGTTAAACGAAATGCCTTGAATTATATTAGTCGAGTCGATAATCCAGTAATCCATACCGCCTCTAATCGAGTCCACGCTTATTCTTCATTTGATCTCACATTTCTACTACACAACGAGAAAGACGAAGTCCGGATATCCTTAGAACCTAACCTCGATGTGCTTTCAGATTCGGCAGTGGTACGCTATCTTAGTCCTGACGGGTCTGTGACGGAGGAGAAGATACAAAGGACAGACCACAAGGTGTTCAAGGGCCACGCCTTCGTACAACATCCGTATCATTCCGAATGGATTAATTCCGGTTGGGCGAGGATAACAGTTTATCGAGATGGTCCGAGGCCGTTATTTGAGGGAACGTTTCGGGTCAACGGGAACCAGCACCACATCCAGACGAGCTCTAACTACAGACAAACGCAGCACGAAGATGATCCTAGTGCGGATTTGGCCGATGACGAGTACATGGTCGTCTGGAGGGATTCGGACATTAAATCGAGTTACGATGTTTCGGAATTGAAGCGCGGGCTCGGTGAAAACTCGTGTTCGTCTGATATGCTCAACTTCAATAACGAGGACAAGCACCCCGTACACCAGGGTCTAGATCTCCGTGATCTATCAGCGGTGGATGCAAATAGTCTTTTCGGCCGAGACGAGATTGACGGTACGACTACTGGGAACGGTGCTGGTGTCAATCTTGCTCAGAGTATCGGGTCTACTCAAGGTTGTCCTACTACCCGCAAGATTGCCCTGGTCGGGATCGCAGCAGATTGCACATACACGGCGCAGTTTACTAATAAGAGCGATGTGCGTTCCCATATTGTTCAGCAGATTAGCTCGGCCTCGGCGCTATTCGAAAGTTCATTCAATATCTCCCTAGGTATCCAAAACCTAAGTATCAGCGATGCGATATGCCCGGGAACCCCTACGGATAGTGAAAAGTGGAATGTCGCCTGCAGCGACAGTGTCACGATTACGGATCGACTTAACTTATTTTCCGAGTGGAGAGGTCAGCATAACGATACCAATGCGTACTGGACGTTATTGAGTACGTGCGGTACCGGTGCGGCTGTAGGATTAGCATGGCTAGGACAGCTATGCGCCCAAGGAGCGGGAACTCAGGCAGACTCGAGCGGAGGAAATGAGACAATCGCGGGAGCCAACGTCGTCGTTCGAACCTCGACCGAATGGCAGGTGTTTGCGCACGAATCAGGTCACACGTTTGGTGCTTTCCACGATTGTGTACCCGACACATGCTCGGACGGCACGGTGACGATGCAGAAGTGTTGTCCACTTAGTAGCTCTACGTGTGATGCTAACGGAGCTTTCATTATGAACCCATCTACCTCTGACGGCGTTACGCAATTCTCCCCTTGCACCATTGGCAACATTTGCTCGGCTATGGGTCGGAATAGTGTAAGGTCAACCTGTTTGTCAAACAACAAAAACGTCGTTACATTTGCACCAAGTCAATGTGGTAATGGCATCGTGGAGGCAGGAGAAGACTGTGATTGTGGAGGCGAACAGGGATGCGCCGGTAACAGTTGTTGCGATCCAGGAACCTGTCGATTCAAAACCAATGCCGTATGTGATCCGACCAACGAAGACTGTTGTACGGCCCAATGTCAATTCAAATCGTCGGGTTCGGTTTGCAGAGACAGTGCTAGCTCATGTGACCCCCAGGAGACCTGTAGTGGTACTTCTGGGACGTGTCCTGCCGATGTCAAGGCAGCAGATGGTCAAGCCTGCGGTGCCAGCGGTGGCGGCTTGACCTGCGCTTCCGGACAGTGCACTTCTCGTGATTTACAATGCCGGACGTTGGTGGGTTCGTTGACTAACAATAACGAGACATCAGCTTGTGACTCGCAGACCTGTCAACTTCGGTGCGCTTCATCTCAGCTCGGACCAAACGCCTGCTATGATATGCAGCAACACTTCCTAGACGGCACTCCTTGCCAAGGTGGAGGGAAATGTAATAACGGACAATGTATGGGGTCTAGCTTCACCGACCAAGTAGGAAGCTTTTTCAACGACAACAAGCACATTATCATCCCCGTCGTCTCAGCCGTTGGTGGCTTCATCGTACTCTGCTTGTTATGCTGTATATATTCATCTTGTCGACGTAGGTCACGGAGAAGAAAGATAGCCAAGACAACTCAACCGAATAGCAGCTGGGTTGGTGGAGCCGGCGGTGCGTGGGTTGCGAATTCTGTCTCCCGTCCACCCCCAGCAGCCCCAGGAAGATATAATCGAGGTCCGCCGCAACAACAGCAGTCCTGGCAAGGCGGAAATCAGTGGGTGCCGCCCAGAGCACCTACAATGCGGTACGCGTAGCCGCTCGGGTTGGAAGAACCTAGGCTGGCGACTGGGAAATCTGAGAGGTTGTAGGGCATCATAGAGGGTATTCACAAGGTTCATCATATCGCGGTTGTTTCAGGCGTTCTAGGCCAAGCATGCATTTAGTTGAGGTGCATATACTGTACTCACAATCACGAAACTCGGGACTTATCATTCGGTGTTTGGATAGCATTGGAGACTCCTATTTTAGGTATATATGTACAGGTTTAGGTCTATAGTTTTTACTTACCTAGTTGTTGGCATACCGGGACTAGGAATTATCTATTATGGAGAGCAAGGAAACCAGCTGGGTTTCAGCTGGATTTGTGGCTTTTTGGCTTTTGGGAAAAAAGACCAGAAGAAGAGAGGAGGAACTCGGGGTTGATTAAATACTACGGCCCGACATAGATGAAGATGACGAACGCTTTTATGACCAGGAACAAATAAACACACTATAAGCCCCCCGGTCCTATATCTATATCTTTCCGTCTCTCTATCTTTCTACCTCTCTCTATATTTTCTTATTGTAAGGGTTTTCTGTAATACTGTAACCTAGATCTTAATACTTACACAAATTCAGCCACGATTGTACTTGGTATTGCTTTTCTCAGAGGCCGCACTTAAAAAGGATCTATCATACCTGGTAACTAATGGTACATTGTAAAACTTCACAGATGGCCCGTTCCCTAGGTACCCCGTGCGTCTACGCTAGGATCGTTGCTGCCCAATGGCTTGGGACAAATGGGATAAATGTTGTCTATTCCTCACCGGTGATATATTATAGATATTAGTTAGTTGCTCGAGGAGAGGACAAACCATATTCTCTCGACGCCGTTGTGCCTACATCACAACGCCCCCTTTCTTTCCCCTTTTATTACTCCTGCTGGACTTCACCTTCTAACTATATAATGTAGGGTGTAGGGTCAACGGATTTCTTCCCGTCGAGCTAATAGATCTTATAATCCAACAGACACAGGCAACGCCCAACTATCCAAACAACCAAATTAAACACCGTCTCCCTCGCTCTTCTCTACCCTACCGCCGCCACCCAATCCAACTACTCAACTGCCCATACCTCACCGAGCCTCCTTCCTACTCGAACGACTAGGCGTCGGTCCTCCCGGTGCGCGTGAGGAATCACTACCACCGCTGCGGTGCGACTTCTTACGCGCGGACTGCGGCTGCGGCGGCTCATCGAAGCCGCACAGCATGCGGGTGTAGCGGAGCCGGGTAGCCGGTATGCTCTAGACGCTTTTGTTAGGGGACGAATACACGGGGCCGGGATATGGATGTAAGGGAGCGGAAGTAAAACTGAAAACCTAGGAAATAGGAGTAGAATACAAGAGTTACATCCGGGACACAGGGGAGTGAATATTGTTGGTCTTTACACACACACAAAAAAGTGGAAGAAATAGGGGTTATAAGAAAGAAAGAAAGAAAGAGGAGGAGAAGGGGGAAATACCTCATTGTCCCGCTGCGCTGCCATCATTAGTAGTTCCGGGCTATCTAGAACCTGGGCGGCTACGCGGCGGCGTTCGAGCACGGCGTAAGACTCGTCTTTCCCGCTAGAGTTGAGACGGATGTATTAGTTCGTCTCTAGGGCATATAGTTGTACCAGTTCTGGAGCAACGCATAGTTACGAGTAAAGGGAGGAGTAGATAGATGTCACTAGGCTAGGCTAGGCAAGTAAAGAAAGAGAGAAAGAAGACATACCCTCCAGCCCGATACTTCCTATTCCCCTCGGGACCCCAATCGCTACTGGCATCGGACGACTCGTAGGGATCCTTCCCCCGAGCCTGGCGATCCCGCATCTCGGCCGTGAACTCGTCGTCCGGGACTCTAGCTCCAACGCCTACGCCTACGCCTACGCCTACGCCCACGCCTACGCCTACGCCAACTGCCACGGCTCCGCCAGGGGTGTAGCCGCCGGTAGGAACGTGATGATTGCTCATTATTAGATTAGATTTGATTAGCTTGGACTTATTAGACTAGACCAGCTTTTTGCTTCCCCCACTGCTCTGGACTTGGAAGATAAGGTATGTATGTATGTGTGTGTGTGTGTGTGTGTGTGTGTATTGGTGGATTCTTGGGAAACCGGGTCCGTCCTGGCGAAGCTAATGTGCGTTCTATTCTTTTCTTGTCTCGGTATTGTCGTCGGTCAGTAGTAGTGGCAGTAGTAGTGGTGTTGCAGGCGGCTTGTATGTACCTAGGTAGTTAAGTTTAATATATTACGTATAAGACGGATTTGGTTTGTGATGAGTGGTCGAGGAGTTTGACCCAATGAGGATGGGTTTATGGGGGGAAAGGGGATGTCGAGGGTTAATTGATTGACGGATGGATGCAATGCGAGTGTTGTGTGTAAGTTGTAAGTAAGGTGTTGTAAGAGGTGTATATATTGTATGTATGTACATAATGAGTAGCAAATAGCGAGTCACAAGTAGCGAGTAGCGAGTAGCGAGTAGTGAGTAGTGTAGCGAGTTGGCACTTTGCAGTTGGCAGTTGGCAGTTGGCAGTTGGCCCCGGCGTTTTAACATTTGGGTAGGTACATTTACATTATCTAAACCTAAGCCAGATATTGTAGTAGTCCCTTCCCGCGGTGCCGGGTACGGGCTGCGGGCTTGGTGTGGGGGTAGGTAAGTTGACGTACATAATTTGGTATTTGGGGAAAAGGTATCTATCCGCGGGGTAACGTGAGTACTGACCGATCTGATCTGGGATTGAATTGAATACAGACGTAAGTACTTAGGTACCCAATGCAGTTAAATACATGTATAGGTATATATGTATAGTCAACTAGGTTAACTACGGTACATAACAAGATAGATATAGTTACATTAAATAAAGTTGACTTACACAGGTACGTATAACGAGTACATGCATATAGTATATAGATATGTATGTACCCTACTCACCCCATACATACCTATGTAGGAAATGTTTACCTCATCCAACTATTGTCTTGGGAGTCTAACTCATATTCTAAATTATCTATAAACTACTATTGGTTTCTCTTCGTCAAATCTAAGCACGGTATCGAACGAATTCCTTATCGCGCCTCATTATGCGCACCAATCGGCGTCCCCACGGGCAAGATTCTCCCGAATGGGACAACTTTCCCGTACCCGCTCCGGTCTCCGGTGGACCCTAATACGTGAGGGGAGAGGCGCGTAGCGGAGAGCCAAATGCCATATGAATACCAGGCGAGTCCGGGCTGGTGTCAATGTCTTCTCCTGATACTCTTCTCTTGGGTATACTCCGAGTCTGGATTTGTGTATTAAGGGAAAAGGAGAAAAGTCCTTAATAAGTCAGCATGACCACCTTCACCAAGATCGCGGGAGATGAAACTCCTCTCATCGAGGTGGACGCGGCCAAGCGCCTGTCTAAGATAGACCCTATGACATATGGCGGCTTTACCGAGTAAGGGGAATCCATTCTCGATATAAAACAACATGGGCTAACAATTCAAACCAAGACATATGGGCCGCTGCATCTATGGAGGTATCTACGACCCATCTAACCCTCTGTCCGACGAAGACGGCTTCCGGACAGACGTGCTCTCGGCTCTTCGCGAGATCGACATCCCGGTAGTGCGGTACCCCGGCGGCAACTTCGTCGCGACGTACCACTGGCAAGACGGCATCGGGCCCCGCGAAAAGCGGCCCTCCCGCCCGGAACTGGCCTGGCTCGGCACCGAGACCAACCAATTCGGCACCGACGACTTCATGCGCTGGCTCGACAAGCTATCGGCCGGCAAACACCGCCGCGTAGAGCCGTACCTATGCCTGAACTTCGGCACCGGCACCCTCGACGAGGCCCTGGCCTGGCTCGAGTACTGCAACGGCACGCGGGACACGTACTACGCGAACCTGCGCCGCGCCAACGGACACCCCGAGCCCTACCGCGTCAAGTACTGGGCCCTCGGCAACGAGGTCTGGGGCCCCTGGCAAGTCGAGCAGATGACCAAGGAAGACTACGCCAAGAAGGCCATCCAGTGGGCCAAAGCCCTGCGTCTCCTCGACCCCACCGTCGAGCTCGTCCTCTGCGGGCAAGACGGCCAGAGTTCCTGGGACCACTACGTCTTGCACGAGTGCGTCGGCTGGGTCGACATGCACAGCATCCACATATACACGGCGTCGAACAAGCACATTCACAACGCCACGGCCCCCCTGGCCGCCGAGCGCGCGATCCAAATCACCGCCTCGCTGATCGATCTCGCGCGCATCGAGAACAAGGTCTCCTCCACGAAGCCGCCCACGCGCATCTGCTTCGACGAGTGGAACGTCTGGGACCCGGAGCGCGCGCCGGGCGAGAAGGGCGCCGAGGAGCAGTACACCTTATCCGACGCGCTGGCCGTCGGGGTGTGGCTGAATGTGTTTGTGCGGCAGAGCAAGTACATGGGCATGGCGAATATTGCGCAGACGGTTAATGTCATTAGTCCCCTTATGACGAACGAGCATGGCGTCGTGCGCCAGGCTACGTGGTGGCCGCTGCTGCTGTTTAGTAAGTATATGCGCGGCTGGACTGTTGCGACGCATGTGCGGTCCGGTGCCTACGAGGGAGAGACGACGCCGGCTTGGTTACAAGGGACGCTGGGCGAGACGGGTGCGCCGTGGCTCGATGTTAGTGCCGCCCTTGGTGACGATGGCTACGTAAATCTGGCTGTTGTCAATATTAGCGAGACGGAGGACTTCGCCGTCCAGCTTAAGGGTGTTGGTACCGATGTGTCTATATACACCGTGTCCGGATCTCAAGTTAGTTCGACGAATAAAGAGGGCAAGGAAGAGGTTAGCTTGTCTGAAGGGAAGTGGGATGGTCAGGGGAAATACACGTTTGCAAAGCACACGTTCACATTATTGAGGTGGAAGCCGTAGAGCTGAGCTAGGCTAGGGTTGAACAACATAATAAAATTATCTGACATGACTCTCACAGTTCGTACGCTAACACGGATTCGCTGTGGATGCCGGGTGTAGTGCTTATACAAAAAATGACAATCCGTTAGCTTATGTATACCTGAAAAAATGTCTCGCCCCAATGCTCCTAGCTATATGATAGTAACGCCTCGCCGCCTCCAAGATAGCCAGACATGCCGATCCGATACCCAGGAGTCGTCTCCTCGTTTTTGTCATAACAAAACAGTAATGACAGTCCCCATAGTAGCTCCATGACACCTATCGCGACGATTCGCTTCACAGCCTGGAACGGCTGTCCTTTGTTTCTTCAAACCGCTACTAACGGGTGTCTAGACCTTGCGGTACTAGATCATAGATTCTATAGCTTCGTGGGAGCTAGATATTGCACTCGAAAATGCGGTAATAATAATATTGGTATGCCATTAGTAGCGACTTTTCACTACTAGCAACCAGTTAAGGCCTCGAGCCGACAAATATATCCTGATACGCTATGATAGTCGCTATCATCCCACCAATAACTGGGATAAAACGTAATTCTTTGCGTTTTCTAGTGGAAGGCAACGGGGATATAATTGTAGTCTATCATCGGAAGTTGATAATAGCGAGCTGGCTTTTGTTAGCTTAGGGCTAAATAAATTAGGTATCGTGACTTACCCGGCTGTTGACTCCATAGGCAAGTTTATGACCTGTTATATCCCATTCCAAACAATGTTCGTCCTCCTTCTCCGGCTCGGGGTTCATCCGTGGGCTAAGCCAGCCGGGATGGGGCGCTCGGCTCCAACTTGCCCGGGGAATATTGCAGTCACCAACCTTCCAGATTAAAATCTTCTCGATCGTAGCTACTGCAATAAATGCGCCATCGGGGGTAAATGCCATCGAAACTATTGGCGAATCCATGGTCATAGAACACTTCGCTTTCCCGGTAAGAGCTAGGGCATTCCATATAAAAATAGCCCCGTCCTCACCACCAGAAGCCAAGAGCCGCTCGTCATCCGGGGGTGTCTGCTGCAAGGGCTGCCAAGCTAACGCCGTGACCGCATCATAGTGCGCTTCTATCTCACGCCGCTTACCGTTGCTGTCCCAGATCTGATAGTGCACCCGTTAGAAAGCAGCCTAATTTCGCCTAGAGGGAACTACTTACGTCCACAAAACCTTTCTCCCCACAAGTAGCCACCAGCGAAGTCTTCCAGTCAAATTGAACTTGGGTTAAGGTATCACCTTCGCGAGTGTCGAACTTCCGGACCTCACCGATTTCTCCATCAGCACACCTTAAAACTATTAATAAGTCACCACCACCTATTAGAAACTCGGATTCGCTAATCCATGCAGCATCTAGCGGCTCCGAATCAAGATCGTGTCGTGGGAGGGAATATGTCAGTGTATTAGTCGATAAGGCATGGTAAATGGTTATTAAGGCACCGCCGTTATCCGGCGCGATGCCCAAGATAGCTGTATTATTAGGATTCCAGCGCAATTTGAAGACGGGAGGTTCGGCAACCTCGAAACGTTGTAGATGAGCACCTTCGTAAGTCCAGAGGTCAATTCGAGCTTTCGATTCCGAGTCTGTAGCAACAGCAATAGTAGACCCGTCCCAATTCCAGGCCATCGCAGTAACTGTGGCCGTGGACTTAATATCGTCTTCGACCAGGGAATGGAAACTTGGAGCGCCGCCATTCACGTGACCATTGAATGCAGGGTCGGTTGTGGCTCCACGAGAAACGTTCCAGATGCGGGCTAGCGCATCGGTTCCAGCAGCCGCCAAGATGGTGGGATCTCGGGGATGCCACTGACAATGCAGTAGCACAGGCGCGTTCTCACCATTGATTCTTGCCAGTGCCGTGGTTGGCGAAGATGTTGGCGCATCGTCGTGACCAGAGCCTAGGGGGATAAATATGGTTTCGGTAGCCAATTCTTGGACTTTGTCAACCTGTGTGCCCTGGTCGGGCCCGTCAGTTCGGGGAGTTGGCGTTGGCGCCTGTTCGCCCTCTTGGGGGGAAGGGTAAGCATGGTTGTCATGGTTGTCATGGTTCTGCCCGTCAAGTTCCATCGGAGTTGTGGCTGCATCCACCCCATTTTCGTACCCATTACTCAGTCTTGGTCGCTTAGCTGGGGAACCATTCAGAAGCGCCGTTTGTGATTGCCTTTCAATTTGACGCTTTCGGTTATTTTCTGCATCAACACCGGACGTAGTCATCGCTGCAGCTGTTGTTTCTGTCTCTGCCTCATCATCCTGGTCCATTTCCTCCGTTTGCTGCTGTTCCTCCTGCTCCTGCTGGTGAAGCGGTGGACCTACACGTAGTGGACCAAAAATACCTAGTTGCATCGCCTCGGCCACTGCCGCCGCAGCGGCATCACGGGATAACTACGCAGAAGAAACCTGTCAGTGCCCATTTGGCCGAATTCTGGACAAAATTAGAGCAAAAATGATTTTGACTCCATTACAACCCGTGATGGAAATTTGTCGCGCGCATTGCACCTCGCATAGAAAAATAGTTAGGATGAATTCAGTTTTTGCATCGACATACCTGTTGCGACTGTGCATGCTCTCTTTCTAACGAGTTATACAATAGACCCTTGTTTATGACATTGACTAGCGCATGACTTTTGACATGTTGCGCGAAATCTAGCTGTCGGTGAGGTTCCTCGACGTGCCACTCTTTTTGGAACTTGACGGCTGTCTCTCGATAATCTACAACTTCAGGTTAATTTGACTCCGGCCGTCTATAGCAACGTCACCGCTGTGTGTGCATACACACACACATACACACTCCCACATCATTGCATAGCTCAAGATGCGTGAGGTGCGCGATGGCGTTATGAGAAACACGTACTGCCTTCTATTAAATATCTGCGATTTGATGTCAATAACCCGGTAAGAGGCGACGGCACAGGAGTAACGGGGGTACGGGAAAAGGCACAAGCAGCCTGGTGTGTGAAGAAAACCGGAGATACCTAAGTAAAGAAAAACATACCTCCAAATCAAGAAATTGACTCGGTTAGAGTCTAAATACTCCTTCATGGTCGCAAACGAGGGGCTATATGAAGGGGTATGATGCTACGATATCTAATAGTTCGAACAGTGGTGTCCTTATACTGGGATAGGCGGTATTTTGATCTCTTCTCATGAGGATGGTGAAGGAAAGAAGACAACGAGATTTTGGTTGTCAGGCCTTGAATGATTTGAGATGCATCCACGGGCAGGGGCTAAGCTACTATGGTACGGCCTTCCTAGTAGATCCACGCCAAATCCATCTTAGTACGGAGTGCTTAAGTACATACCCTACACGCCGTTGCTATGTAGTTGGGGGAGCTACCAGCCTACCTTGGTACCTACAGGGTATGTAACTAACCCAATTTTGCATGATTAAACAACTTACATAAGTACCTAGGTATCTACATATATGGAGGTATATTAGGTACATTATGTATGTACTACCTAGGGAGGTACAGACGGCGACCGACTTTAAAACAAAACGCTTGACCTAACGAAGCATAAGTATCGACGTATACCTACCTACATAAGTAGCCAACGCAAACGGTTTGCACATTCAACTTATTTAACTCGACTAACATGTACCTTAGGTAATTTACCTAGCTACCTCATATCAGCGTACGGGCAGACGGGGTCGAGAGTTGAATTGGAAATCTCTGAGAGTGCAAGGGGCCTGCTTCGGGGCGACTTTGATTGTACAGTGTATGTAGGGCTGTTGCTCCGCTGCAAGATTTTGACTGGACATCAGCACTGAGTTGGTTTATTAGTCGAACCCTTTCCCTCAAAATGGATTTAAAAAGGACCCTCATTTTTTACGATGCGAATCAGTCTTCATCAAATTGCCATTGTCGAATGGCTCTGCGGCATATTGTTTAAATGGAAACCCTGTCCGAATCAGGTTCAGTATCGTAGCCTTCCTTTCATCATACAGTGTGTCTCAGTGACATTCTTTGACCACATCTTGTTGATGATCCACGCGGTAGCGGTAGGGCGTTTCCTGGTGCTGCAGGTGTTCTGTCGGGTGGGAGGGATGGATGGAGAGGCTAGACTCTTTTTTGCCAGGGAGACAAGACGGCTTAGCCTATGAGGTAATTTTCCTTTGAACAATAGAAACGACAGCGAAACTCCAGACGACTCCACAGGCAATGGTCAGGGCTTAAAATCATTTTATTAATCCGTCATCCTGGCTTGGCTAGCCTGGCTGGGGTACACCCGGAAATTCGCAATCGGAGAGGATCTAAAAAAACTGAGATCGGTCGTGCTTCAACGCAACAGGAACACAGAAAGAAAAATAACCGCATTATAGTAAAAGTTCTTTTTGTTTATTATGGCTATATGTGAATAGCTAATACCAGTTCTATATTTTAATCGTTTAGATTTCGAACATTTATATTGTAATGTAACTAGGTAAATACCTACATACCTAAGGTACAAAGGAAGTTTGGGTTCGACGGCCGCTACAGGTACATACTAACCTACATATATGTATGCAGAGCTGAGAAGAGTACGTACCAGAGAAAGTCGTAGCGTACCTACCAAGCTTAGGCGAAAGAAACAGACGATCTTTCAAGGCTTTGCCATCCGACTAGCGAATCGCCTTATCCGCTTGGGGCTTAGTGCATTGAAAATAGCATTGTGCCTCTCCGGCATCACCAACAATCCCTACCCAGAATACCTATCATATGTAGTAAATATGCAACAGCGCTAAAAGTTAAAGATGCTTAGGTTAGGTTAGTGCGGACGAAAGAAGATACATAGGTACCTAGGTAGAGAGATACATAGTTAGCCCTCTTTTGCTTCCTCGAGATCCTTTGCCATGACCGCAAAATCTTCAATAGTAACATCTATCGCCCAAAGTACACGAGACGTAATATTCTTAGATGGCTCAATGGATTATCCTATTATGGAGTTGCAAATCATGTACATACATACAGCATACAGCATACATAGTATGCATGTGCCTGCACTAAGATGAGGAGGACGTGTAATCTATGGGTTCCACGAGTTACACATCATCGGCTTTTATCAGTCGAAACCATTTCGAACCTTGCTCCCCTGCAGAAAATTCGTGGCCCTAGAGACCGGGGCTAATCTATCTTAGGTACTCGGTACTTTATTCAGGTCACGCACACGTATAAATCTCTCTCACTCCGGTTCGGTAAAATCGGAGGCGGATAGATGGATGAATATTGTGTGAAAGTAGCTATAGAGGCCTATCTAAAGGTCTATCTAGGAACTTAGCCATGTTGATAACAACTTGAAGCTTTGTTTCGTATTGTATTGTGTTGATATGATATATGTAGGTACCTAGGTACTTTTGCGGTACCTGACCGGAGGGAGGGAGCGACACAATCCGTAAAGGAGGCTTGGGTTACCTCTCCCTGCAGAAGGTGGTAGGTACCTTTTACTAAAATTGTGGCTGACGGGAAACGCACTGGCCACATCAGCCGTTACCAACCTTAACCTCGTAAGGTGATGTGCGGCTTCGACGCGACCCCCGAAAAATCGACCTCTCTCAAACTCTACCTCGAAGCTCAAATCCCTATATCCAAACCGCCGCCATGCCTCCGCGACTAAACATCCCACCTGTTACCCGCGTGGTACTCGTGGTCTTGCTTCTACAGTCCGTCTTAAGTGCTGCCGTGCGCTACCGCCAATGGTCTGCGCATTCCGAAATCGTCGTCGAATGGCTGACACTGATACCTCAACTGTCGCTGTTCTATCCCTGGACGTTCTTAACGGCTACTCTAGTCGAGAACAATATCTTTACATTAGCGATTGCTAGTCTAACCCTTTATCATGGAGGGAAATACCTAGAAAGAGCTTGGTCTTCAAGGGAATTCGCTAAATTTCTACTCGTGGCATCCCTGATACCCAATACTTTAACTTTCTTGATTCTGGTCACACTGTTCACTATCACTCGCAACGAGAGATGGACGTAAGTCCCGCCCCCCGGATGTTCTAGGGTTTTGTTACATGCAGCTAGGAGTACTAATAAATAAAAATTCAGGTTGACAACTATTGCTGGCACGATACCCCTTCAGATCTCTTTTCTTGTCGCTTTTAGCCAACTCGTTCCCGCGCATACCGTAACCCTCTTCCGAGGTGTTTTGTCTTTGCGCGTACCGAAGTTTCCTCTCATATACATCGGCCTTGTTGCTGTGCTGTCCTTGACTCCGTTACTCACGAGTGCTTCCTTGTTCTTATCCATATTCGGTCTCCTTGCCAGTTGGACGTATTTACGATTCTATAAGACGATTTTCCCGGATCTTGATTCTTCGCAACCGACATCTATGCGCGGGGATGCGAGCGAGACGTTTGCTTTTGCTGAATTCTTTCCAGGACCAGTTAAGCCATTTGTTTCCGCGATTACCGAGCCGGTTTTCAACCTGTTGGTAGCAATGAGGATATGCACGCCTTTCTCACAGGCCGATATCTCCGCCGCACAAGGGGGTAACTTCATACAGCGTAGCGGTCATGGAGGTGTTAGGGCTGAAGCTGAAAGACGGAGAGCCTTGGCTCTAAAAGTACTAGACCAACGTCTCCATGCTGCAACTGCGGGACCCAGTAGTGGCACACGAAGTCAGCCACAACCTCCTAACCAGCCAGGCGGCTCGGGAGCACATACACATCAGCAGCCGAACGCTCAGGCTGCGATGACATCACAGCCCACCACAGTGTTGGGAGAGACAAACTATAACCCTGATCATGATCATACCGACAAGAGCGACTCTTGAAATGTCCAATTTTCTGCGGGGGCTGGCGGGGGGCTCTCTCGTTTGGATCTCGAACCACCCCCTTTGCCATATGTCCGAATACGCGTGTATTTCTATTTTGGGAGCACTTGCGAGTTCGGAGTCGGCATTAGAGGATGAGGCATCTGGGTTTTGAGTTTAGGGGGTGAAATATCCCCAATCAAGTAATATCAAAGTGCCGGTTACAGTGTTAATTCACAAGATAGCCGGATAGCTGTCGGGTTCAGTTTGGCTGTTCAGCAAGCTACGGTTGAGATTCCCGTTTGGTTTTATCGAGTACTATAAACCGAGCTTGACGTGCAGCATTATATGTCAATTCTACGGTAGATATAATATCAGCACTGCTTAGCATTTGGGTAATACGGCATGCCGTCACATACCATACTGTCCACGTATCTGTTTTAGAGTATTTCACCAATAGACGGATATATGCAGTCGCGTAGCATATAGTAGCATATAGCATCGTATAAGCTCGCTCCGCCGTAATCCTGCTTTGCAATGAGTTGAAGAACGATGAAGAAGAAAAAAAGGGGGTAGACGAATATATATATATATATATATATCTATATATAATAGTATATAATTATTCATAAGTAAAATGTTATATGTCTTTGATTGATATAGTGCCCAAGTAGATCAGCGGTTTTTACAATGGAAAGGGAGCAACCGTTAAACAATGTTTGGCCTACATTTTCAAGTAGGGCTTTGCCGAAGCCATGTCTTAGGTATATATCGACCACCAAACCCACGAGGCAAGAGGTGGATTAGGTAGTATAGAGAGCTTTTGATTGTTTATATATATTCTCTAGTTATAGGTGTCAATTGTTAAATGCAGAAGAATTCCTCTCGTCTTAGTCAGTAGTGACGCCGTTTGAGTATTCACCCTGTCACCTAAACTAGACCCAATTTAGACCCAATCTAATTCATCTAAATACGGATATGTCGTAGACATAGTGCGAAAGGTTAATAATACCTTACCTCTAAACGTGGCTCTGAGATGTGGCATTGTGGCTTGTCTAGATCAAGCCGGTCGAGTTGCATCAGTAGTGGGTCCGAGCCTAATAAGAGTGGGTGATATGTGGCTTATACCGTACATTAATTTGGGGAAACCTCAAACAGGTACACATCCTTGAACATTGACACCCTTGGACATTGTCTCATCATAATCGGTTTCCACTGCATCTGAGTACAACCGGATCGGCTGAGTACATGTGCACACGTATCGCTCGAGTGTAAGTCGCACCGCACACTATCCCCGAAGCCATTCAGGTCCATTACATGTGACTTGAACGAGTGTGCAAATCGGCAAATCTCACGCTTTTCTCTTCGGGAGCTACGCCGTACATGCAGAACATGCAGAACATGCAAATGAAGAGTGCTTACCACAGTACACTTGTGCACTTGTACACTTGTACTTTAAAACGTTTCAATCCGTGTACCTAAAGCCCCTGTACACTCCGAAAAAATCCTATTTTCTCTGCTGTCCGTCTGCTGTCCGTCTCCTACGCCAGCGCCAGCTGTGCTAGCGGAACTAGGGACAGCCCGCCTTCCATCTCTTCCCATCCACCTTGCCCAACCCACGGCCTTTACTAAAAGAAGACGGCCATGTTTCAACCCGCATTCCTCCTTTTCTAGCAAGCGAATGATGCAAACCAACGTTGGCATATCTGCTTATTAACCTGGTCTATAGATAGTTAGTTCATGGACAATACCAACAGGTCGAGCTTGCTCATCCGTCGGTAAGCGTCGTCCCTTCAGCCGTTGGCTGGCTAGGTAGGTAGTTAGGTATTTGCAAAGTTGCAATATCGACTTTGGAGTTGCAGATTGAGGGAATACAAGCGCCAAATGCGGTAGAAGATTTGGTGAGGTTCTCTCTGACTGAGATGCGGCGAAAAAATCTTGCTCTATTCGCACTCTTGCCTAAGCAAAGTAACGAGGCGGGAAACGCATATATATGCCAAAACAGCAGGGGGCCCTAACCCCATTTCAGCTGCAATATGTACGCGGTACGCCTAGTCCGTGGCTGATCGGTTTTGCTTTGTTGCTTGTTTAATGCTGGGCCGTCCCGAAATAAATCGCTGCCACCATCGTCAGCCCGCGGAGCAGTAATGATGAAAAGGCGCTTGCAGATTATGTACGTACACATGGGGCTAGGTAACCTACCTACCTACTTTGGTACGTGACTTATATCCGGAGGTGTGCCAGGAGAAGCCCAGGTGTGCCTAGGCGACGCAGGACAAAGTACATACCCTGTGAGTTTTAAAGCACACCATCATCATCATTACTATGTATGTAGTGTAGACCGCCGGGGCCCCGATGCAAGCAGGCAGGACGGTTAGCCAGGGTTGACAGCTCCATTCACACGGGTGGTAGGGTGATCTGTATCTGGAGGTGTGGCACGTCAACCGTACGGACCGCTGCTCTCTTGGCGAATAATAGCCCACGCAACCAACGGCTGCATATGCGCGAGATGCAGCACACATATCTAGCGCTTCGTACCTTTGTACTCTTCATTCCACTGGCCTCAACCTGGCTGAGCTAATAATAAAGGGTTGGACCGAAATACGGTATTGAACCCGCATATGTAAGGTATTATGGATGTACATAAATGGGCAATGGGAAAAGTCACACCGGCTACGACACGCCCCTTCGACTGTCCCCCCCCCTTCTCCCACTCTTTTATTAACCTACCTCTCCTTTCCTGGGGCGCTTCGAACCAACTTGTCCATTGTGCAACCATCGCTGCAGCATCATCCGTCCACTCCCTCTCCATTGATAGATCCCAACACCCACTCCGTGGTTACTTATGCCGGGCAATCACATATTGCATGCGTTATGTACTGCGTGCAGGTTGCGGGAAAATGCTTCCTCTTAACTGCCTGGCCATGACGATCACACAAGTAGTGATCAGCCAACCGGCCATCTTCCAAATGATCAATCAATCTAAGTAGATTATCGAAAAAGCGACACCCTGACATCCCGACTCATGAACCCCCATGAATAATCCTATCGAAGGACCATTACTAAACCCCACTCCCCCGACTTGCTTTTCGAAAACTACCATGCATGGTTACGTGGGTAGCGTGTTGACTAAGAGGGAGTACTTAGGGTACTCAGGTACGCGCGATGATTTCATAGCAGGCTTGAAACAGGGCTCTGATAGGATCGACTACCGTTGCTCGATGTGGTAGTAGTACCCAAGTAGGTAAGTACATATTACATAGGAACCCAAGGCGGAACAGGGTAAAGTTGACGAGAAAAAGCCCGAAGTGATGAAACAAATAAAGTAGTTTAGTAAGGTCGCGCTGTTGAAGGATTCTTCGGGAGGACGCTACGACGAAGTAGGTAATAAGCCCCAAACAGCGTTTAAAGTCACGAACATATTCCAGCCCCTTCTTGTTATGACACGTGGGCTTTCTAGAAGCGTGTTAGCGCCGACGACAACACTACCTCAACGGGAATGGCCACCATGGTATTATTTTTCTTGTTCCCCCAAATCTGAGAAAAATTGGTGCCACATTGTCGGTGTTTCTTCACCCTCGATCTTCGGGAGATGACGAGATTGGTCGCTTGGCTATTTCCACCTCAATTTCCTTGCTGACACAATCCGGTAACAAAAAAAAAATCCCCCCATAAAAGCCTCACAAACCTTTGTCTAGTTGTTCTTCTTCAACGAGGTGTTACCGTCCATCACCTACGATTATCTAAACTCATGAATGCCAGTTGCGTGTCTCTGGTTTTGACCTTATTCATGATTCGACATTCAGATATAAGCTCAGGGACGGAGATGGTCTAGATGAGCTTCTGCATGATTTGCAGTCGACGAAAACTCGGCAATGGCAAGTTACCTGATGTGTTGGTGACCCACTGTCTCGAGTTGACCAATGTTGTTAAAATTGTGTCTGTCCGACGGCAGGTTCAAGATATGGTCTCGAACGCGGATCCTCGACGTCAAATGGCCACTGCCTGACCTCTGCAATGCCTGGTCCGTTTACCAATTCGCGCTCGTAATAATAAAAATACTAATAAGTGTCAGCACGGTACGGGCGAATGCGTAGTTGTGGCCTGTATGTTTGACAAGTGTCAAGCCAAAACGTCGGAATTTGTTAAGACACGGCTTTAACTGTCTTGGGTAATTCGATCCTGTACGTCAAGCCTTCTTCGTGAGATTGGCTTCGATGGGGATAAATACTCCGATAGAGAGATATAGAGAGATAAGCGTTCCTCAAAAAAAATTAAATTGATTTCCCCTTAGGTTTCCTCATCGTCTGCGACGTACTATGTAGTATGTGGTATGTGGTATGTGGTACGCAATGAGGATTGCCCCATCGCCCAGGTGCGGGTTTATGTATATGAAGTATGTATCTATGTAGTGTACATATGTACATAGGAGGGTGTGCGGTTCAAATGCCAAGCCGCAATATGACCCATCCACACCCGCCCTTTCTCAAACCCTGTACCTTGCCTTCCAAGCAACCCTCCTCTCTGGGGCTCGCCCATGCCAAGCGGCAAGGTAAGAGCGAATCCGTCCGAGCCGCTACCACCGGCGATTGACCAAATTTGTAGGAGTTTCGGAACTTTGCCCGCTCCTTGGTCCAGGTTTCTGCAAAGTAACTAACTCGTACCCTTCCCCTTCTTCCTTGCAGGAACCATCCGTGCAGAGTTTGGTTTCAATCAGGGTTAAAACGTACTGTCTACTTACAGCGGCTTTCCTAGCCGCGCCCGTTATCTCGGGCAATAGTTAAATCTTGCTCCAAACTCCAAAAAAAAAAAAAAAAGTGTCAATAGTAAACTTTACAAGAAGGATATTTAAGCGCACGCGGCATATGACGACGCATACTTTATATATATTCTAAACACAGATGAAGAAAGAAGAGGAAAAGAGAACTCTCTCTACCTTATCAGCGAAAAGTAACTTATAGTAATAAGTGCGAGTGTTGCTACGTGCTTGGCGTGTTTCCTACGTTGATATGCTTCGAATTGCGTTTCTCTTGGGTATCCGCAAGTTGGTAAAGTGTCGAAGCACATATAACATCTCGTACAAAGACGCATCACCGTGTCTATAAAATGCCTGGTTGGCATTGTTCGATCCAGATACTGCAAAGATGGCAACGAAGCTGTATAAGATGTATATTTAGGATGCGAAGGAGCAATAAGGGTCTAGCTTAGCTGAGAAGCATGGAAAATTTAAGTATAGGGAACTTTGGGGCTGGATTAAAAGAAGAGTGGACTTCGTATTACCTGCACGTCTTAGGCGGTCCACTTATACTACCGTGTACATTGTGGTTACCTAGCCTAGATGACTTCTAGGTCTAGGAACACTCGTTCCTTGCCCCACATATTACTCCCATGCTAGTTCTATCTACCTAAATATTGCAGGTGCTATCGTGGGTTAGGGTAGCTGCTGTCCATCGAAATCCTCCTTGGGTCTTCTCCCAAACTCTTCTCTTCTTCCCGTCTACCGTCCAGCCTCTCCACCGCTTATTCTCCCCTCCCCTAAGCAACTAGGCCATCAAGACAAAGATTGAGCCTCATATTCCGCATTCTTTTCTATTCCGTCTCGACTATTAAATTTGTCGTTCGTAGACGTTATTCCCGCCTAGACGCGATCCGAGCATATTATACTGCTTAGTACTTAGCGGCTCGTATTAAGCGCTCTTGCCCGGACCAAGTCATTATTTACGATCTTGCGACCGCTGAAACCATCATAACACTCCACAACCGTATAACCTGCAGTTTACCACCGGCTTTTATAGGCGTTTGCGCATTACGCCTCAAAGTTTTATTTTATTTTTGCGTATCTTGGTACTTCACATATTTATGTGCCGTTTATCAGTATAACTACGTCGCAAACGAGTTCTCCGCATCATAAGGCTTTGATTCGGTTTTGTGTTTTACCGAAGCTGGAAAACACCTAAGCGCCTCGGTGAGGCGAATTTTGCTGACAAGTCGAAATATCTATGGCAAATCACCACCCGTCGCCACAGATGGCGATGCAAATGCAACATCATGGCCCGCCAGTACCTCCTCCTCCTCCTCCTGGCCCGGCCCAGGGGGGTCAATGGGCTCCGTCGCGACACATTGTTGCGGTTAATGAAGCACTCTGGATGCAAATCGGTGAGTATAATATAACAGCGTCATTCGCCGGGTGCAGGGGACTGATAATTTATATAGGTAGTTTCTCTGAACTCCTCGGTAACTTAGACGAAGCCATGCTCGCCTACGAGCGCGCATTGAACGCGAACCCGAACTCTATTCCCGCGATGAATGCAATCAGTCTAATCCTAAGGACGCGTGAGGATTTCCATAAGGCAGTAGAGTACCTGCAAGCTATACTAAAGATAGATGCAAACAATGGCGAAGTCTGGGGTAGCCTGGGTATATTCAGCTTCATACGCACACATGTGTATTAACTTAGCTAACACTCACTCTCAGGGCATTGCTATCTTATGATGGACGACTTACAGCAGGCATATGCAGCTTACCAATCAGCTCTGGTTAATTTGCCGAACCCCAAAGTAAATAACAACTTTGACTTCCTTATCTATTGCCTAGCTAACACGCAATAGGAACCCAAGCTATGGTACGGTATAGGAATTCTATACGACAGATACGGCTCCCTCGACCATGCCGAAGAGGCTTTTTCGCAGGTCATGCAGATGCAGCCGGATTTCGAGAAGGCAAACGAGATTTATTTCCGACTTGGCATAATTTACAAACAACAATCAAAATACGGCCCAAGTTTAGAGGTAAAGTCCATTAATTAGCACGAGCCCACTCGACTCTAACCCATTACAGTGTTTCAAGTACATCGTAAACTCTCCGCCGCCGCCATTGACCGAAGAAGATATCTGGTTCCAAATTGGACATGTTCATGAACAGCAGAAAGACGTAGGTACTGGTCGATTGTATCATTGGAACGTATGCTAAATCATATGTAGTATGATAGTGCAAAGGCCGCCTATATGCGGGTGCTTGAACGTGACCCGAACCATGCCAAGGTCTTACAACAATTAGGTTGGCTCCACCATCAGCAAAGCAGTAGCTTCCAGACTCAGGAGCGTGCCATCGAGTACCTAGAGAAGTCCGTTGCGGCTGGTAAGTGGTGGTCAAATCTATAGTATGAAATTTATGCATTTTTAACTCACGTGGCAGATAACAACGACGCCCAAAGCTGGTACCTCCTTGGCCGATGTTACATGTCACAGCAGAAGTATCCCAAGGCGTATGAAGCATACCAGCAAGCAGTGTATCGTGACGGGCGGAACCCTACATTCTGGTGCTCCATTGGCGTGCTCTATTACCAGATCAATCAGTACCGCGATGCTTTAGATGCATATTCTCGGGCGATTAGGTTGAACCCGTATATATCTGAAGTTTGGTATGACCTTGGTACTCTGGTAAGTTTTGTTTGCTGTCTTCCACAAGTATAAACTAGCTAACGAATATTTCCAGTACGAATCTTGCAATAATCAGATCAATGATGCTCTGGATGCATATCAAAGGGCTGCCGAATTGGATCCCGCTAACCCGCACATCAAGGCGAGACTTCAGCTTCTAAGGGCTGGTCAAACTCCGGGAAGCCTCCCGCAAGCTGTGCCCACTGATGTTCATCCCCAATCCTACGGCGCTCAGGGACCACAAGCACCTGCATGGACTGGTTCTGCTCCAATGCAGCAATCCGGACCCGGCCCTCACAGGCCGCCCCCGGGACCTGCTGCAGCCAACGGTTGGGGCCAAAGAACCAGTGATATCAACCCACCACAACCACCTAATCCCTATGAGCAGCGCGAGCCCTTTCGCGGGCCGCCACCTCCACTCCCACGACAGCCTAGTCCTCGGCAGGAGATGAGGCAGTACGGAGAGTCGGGTCGTCCAGGTCCAGCACCGATTCGAAGAGGTCCTTCTCCAGGCCCACCCACCCAATATGCACCCCCTTTACCAGGACCGTCGCAGCAACCCCCTCCGCCACCTGCCCAAGGTCCGGCTAGAGTCAACAATCCGAATTATACGCCAGCACCTTCTTCAAATATGGGTCCCGCGAATGGCCCGCCTAATGGTCCCCCGCCGCACTCTCTAATGCCCTACCGTAACGGTTCCCCTCGTGCGGAACCAAGACTCATCCATGACAATCGCATGCCGTCGCCAAAATCGGCTTATCCTCAGCACCAACCTCCGTTCCCTCACCAGCAAGAGCCGGGAATGCCGGGCAGTATGGAACCAGGCCCTCACCCAAAAGGGCCAATCAGACCCGACATTCATCAGGATCACGATAGACCGTCCTCAGTAGCGCCCAAGAGGATGCGAGAGTGGGAAGACGAACCTGCCATTAAAAAGCCTGCTAACGAGGAGACTCGGGCTCGCATGGAAGATATACGTCACCGACGACAATCCACCCCACCGCGGGATCCTTACCGTCGTTCTCCTGATGCCCACCGATTTGAAGAACAACGGCGCATCGAGGAGCAGCGACGCGTCGACGATCAAAGACGAGTCGAAGAAATGCGACGTGTTGAAGAGCAACGACATGCGGCTGAGAGTTATCATCCATCAGATGCCGCTCATCATCCACCACATGCAATGCCAAACCATCTCCCTCCTATGCAACAGGGTCCACCTCCTCCATTGCCAAGCATGCTTCATGACGGACCGCAGCCAAGCCCTGCCCCAAAAGACTACCCCCAAGATGAGCGGCAGAGACTCGAACACCCGCCAGCTCCCACTCCGTCGCAGATAAACGAACCAGAGCGGGCTGCTAGGAAAATGGATGTTGATGATGACTACGATGATAGTGGAGAAGAAGAGAAGAAGGTGGGCGTTAATGGCGCGGCATCGGGGCCGGGCTCAACATCTGGCGACTTAAAGAACACGACACCCACCAGTGCCAGCATCAATGGGATAATGGGACCTGCCCCCAAGGCGGAGGGCAACGTTTAGGAGAGGGAGATGCCAGTAACGAATGCTGAACTTCGATACATACCCATTTCATTGTTCAGGATTATTTCAAAGCTATGTATATCAATGGTCAAGTTGGCGAATTGCCTCCCTTTAGATACTGGCAAGGCGATAAGAAGTCTGTCTATCGTTTCTAAACATTTGCTTTATCAGTTCAATACACTCAAAATTCCTCCCAATGTTATTGTGCCTCAGATTATGTGCATTGTCAATATGATGATACCCGTAGCTTCTCCATATGTAACATACATGTAAGTACATAATGTGTGCGTTCTCATGTCAAGTGTCTGCGTACATGGTACGTACCTTAGGTACTCGTAATCGGAAATGGTCCTTTAAAAATTGATTCGTTAACAACATACATAGGTACATGTAAGCTTGAAGATCATTTTAGTGGGGTTAGAAAAGCTCTCTAATAACGTGGTCCGAGCTTTAGGGTTCCTCTGCTTCCTTTCCTCCCACATTCGGTTATTTGCCGGGATTTTACAGCCCACAGGTTTTTGCATTAACCCACTACCAAAAAAAGATTGAGCTTTTCTCAATCCCGAACATTTTCTTCCATCCTTAAACCTCCCACCCACGACCTGGCGATTGACTTCTTCCTTTAACAACAAAGGATCAATCGAAGATGTCGCACCGTAAGTTCGAGGCTCCCCGTCACGGCTCTCTCGCCTTCTTGCCGAGAAAGCGTGCTGCCCGTCATCGCGGCAAGGTAAAGTCGTAAGTTGACACCTATTTTCATCAAATCGCAGTCGTGCGAAATACCTTCTTACTTTTAAATTTGGTACTAACTTACAATTGCTACCGTCAGCTTCCCCAAGGATGACCCTAAGAAGCCTGTCCACCTTACTGCCGCCCTGGGCTACAAGGCTGGTATGACCACGATCGTTCGTGACCTCGACCGACCCGGCGCAAAGGCACACAAGAAGGAGGTTGTTGAAGCAGTCACCATTATTGACACTCCACCTGTACGAACAACGCAGCCCGCTTGGCTTTGCGCCTATGGCTAACATCTTCACAGATGATCGTTGTTGGTCTTGTGGGCTACATTGAGACCCCCCGCGGTCTCCGATCACTCACCACCGTGTGGGCCGAACACTTGAGCGACGAAGTCAAGCGCCGATTCTACAAGAACTGGTACAAGAGCAAGAAGAAGGCTTTCACCAAGTACGCCAAGAAGCACTCGGAGAGCAGCGGCTCTTCCATCACCCGCGAGCTCGAGCGCATCAAGAAGTACTGCACCGTCGTTCGTGTCCTCGCTCACACCCAGATCCGAAAGACCCCCCTCAAGCAGAAGAAGGCCCACCTTATGGAGATCCAGATCAACGGCGGCTCTGTTGCCGACAAGGTCGAGTTCGGTCACGGCCTCTTCGAGAAGCCCGTCAGCATCGACACCATCTTCGAGCAAGATGAGGTGATTGATGTTATCGCCGTCACCAAGGGTCACGGTTTCAACGGCGTTACTGCCCGATGGGGTACTAAGAAGCTGCCGCGTAAGACTCACAAGGGTCTCCGAAAGGTCGCTTGTATCGGTGCTTGGCATCCTTCCCACGTCCAGTGGACTGTTGCCCGTGCTGGTCAGCAGGGTTACCACCACCGTACCTCGGTCAACCACAAGGTTTACCGTATCGGTAAGGGCGACAACGAGGCTAACGCCTCCACCGAGCAAGATGTCACCAAGAAGACCATCACCCCGTAAGTTACAGCCAATTCAAAGTTATATTAGGATTCCACTAACGTATGCATAGTCTGGGTGGTTTCGTCCGATATGGTGAGGTCAACAATGACTTCGTCATGGTTAAGGGCTCCGTTCCTGGTGTCAAGAAGCGTGTCACAACGCTAAGGAAGTCCATGTTCACTCACACTTCGAGAAAGGCATTGGAGAAGGTGGAGCTGAAATGGATCGACACCTCTTCCGAGTTTGGTCACGGTGCCTTCCAGACGCCTGCCGAGAAGAAGCAGTACCAGGGTACGCTCAAGAAGGATCTCGTCCAGAGCTCGTAGAGGGCTTTACGTCTCCTTGTATCTTGTCTTTGCATCGGTGTTCCTGGTTCCCTTTTTCGGCTACTGCGATGGGCATGGTCTAAGGTTGGCATTTGAGACTCAAAAGAAGTTAATGAACAAATGCATGAAGTAAAAGCCATAAGATGCGTGTTTTCTGCGTTCGTGACAAGCAATCGTAGTCCACTATACAGTAGCTGAATTATAGTAACGTTATGCAAAGGAGGCATATACCCCATTAGCCGTAAGCAAGTAATAGCTAGTATGGATTAATAAGTGCCCGGGTTATATCCACGAAAACCAATTGAAGCCTAGGAAGGTCGGTTATTAGAATGGTCATTCGAATATTGTTATATCACCATACAGCAATGCGATGTAGTCTAATCTAACTTATAGCCACAGAGCTAAGATGATAACCTAGAACGTGTGTACTATACAGACATCTTACTTTAATATTCTAATGAAGTCTAACAATGCCCTTGATAGAGTTGATGATGGACAATACGTATCCAAAGAGTCAGTTTAGATTGGTCTTACATGTATGTAACTACTCTAGCCTCTGCAACACAAACTTCAGCTAAGTCATTAACCTACCACTTTACATAGCTGTACATGTAGATACATCTACTCGATGCTCACATGCATTCTATGCTCACATGCGTTCTCTATGCTCACCAGGAGACGTAATGTTTTGTATACTTTGATTTTATAGTTTTTCGGTAGTCCGATCCACCCTTTAAAAGGGTGCTAGAACATTCCACGATCTACCGTTACTACGCGTCTAACTAGTATAAAGTTAACTATCTTATTAGCTTAATATTGATAAGGATACGAACTCTCCGCAGGTTTACTGACTACAAGACAAAAGTTATGGTATGCCCAAATTTACTTGTGCAATGATATGTATATAGACTTCCAATTTTATTAGTCTAAAAATTTAATGGCATTGACTACGTACATAGATACATGTTGATATCTCCAAACTATATCAGTAACATTCTAACTACAACGTTTACACTACTAAGTATCAAACATATACTACGTAAGTTTGCTTTTATCACAAGCCATGATGACGAATCAAGGCAAAACGGTCTCTATATCTACTATTATAATATAAATTCTAACCGCTGGCGTAGCATCTTAGCAACGACGGGGCAGTGCAGAGGGAGAGTCCGGGATAAGGACGAGCAAAAACAGCAGCACCGTCATACGAACATTAAAAGGTACCTAGGTATGCACCAAAAGGGGTGTTTGCTATAAAATACATAGGTACATATCCTTGCAGCTATGATGTAACTAACCTAGATACATGGAAGACAGCCTTGCAAGCTTCAAAGTGCTCTTTATCTACCTCCTGCAAAGGTAATCAAGTATAACTACAATAATTTATTACCAAGTACGGTCTATCTGGATCAATGTCATTGACGTTACCTTTAAATCATAGTGCTATTTCTAGATCATTTTATCGATATAGTGGTCGATTAACAAAGAGAGTTACGGTATCGTATCGTACCACTAACATCTCAGAAGGAAAACGACTTAACTGGCTGCCTTCCGCCAACTCGGTCGCGCTACAAAACAGACACTTTCCTCAATCGGTTGATAACTTGAGAAGCTTCACCACAACCAGAGCATTAAAAATGGCATCCGACGAAGATTACATGGCCTTCTTAGATAAGGCGAACAAGAACCCGAGCGAAGGATATACAAAAGCACAGAATGCGACCAAGCAAGACTTCAAGGCGACTGACGAGGGAGCGCAAATCCCTGCTGTTATCCAGGAAGTAACCAAAGATAGCTTCTACGTGAGCGATGCCGACGAACCGTTCGTACCTGTCTATCTGGCATGGGACGAGAGCGGCAAAGGTCTACCAGACGAGGGTAGGTTGCGCCGGGGAATTTATGTTACTCGCTAGCCTTCTGTATGACCACGACTACTAACTTCTGAGTCTATAGAGGAATTCGCATCCTTGATACACCATCCAGACCCGTCAAATGCGCAGATTGAAATTCAAGATCCCGCGGACTGGGACACGCAGGGTCAGTATAAGTCGATCCTAGATGCGGTGCGAAAAGCAGGCAAGGGGAATGACGTCCGAGTGTATCGAGTCTCGAAAGGAGGCGTCAAAATCGAGTATTGGGTCGTCACGACGGAGGGTAATGGACCAAGCGCGAAGCTTGTTGGTGTTAAGGCGCTGGCGATTGAGAGCTGATCAATCGGATATGATCAGGATGAATCATTAGGTACCTGGACAGGCAGTTTGAAGACGATCTACATATAAAAAGTACCTAACCTAGGTTCTGTTAAGCTTCAATTGATGCTATATTGAATTACCCCGCGATTTCCGCGATTTTTGTTTAAGCCTCCAAGGTTTGCTATGATAAGATTATATGTGATAAGATATGTATAACTACATGTACCTAGGTTAGCACTATGTGGGGCAGTTATGACAAAAGTGCCCCTCCTTCCGTCAGCTCCGTCTTCGGATAAAATGTGTAGGAGCAATCAATGTAAGGTACCAAAAAGTTTAAGGACCAACCAAACAGCTCTAGCGGGTTTAAACATGCTATGCTGAGTCAACCTGGTGTTACATACTCGTGTGCTGAGAATTGACAAGAGCAAGGGGAGTGAAGGAGTGACATCCTTCCTCTTACCACCTCTTACCACCTCCTTCAACAACTTTGCCCACCATGGCTCAAGCTGTAAGAACTTTTCTCAATTCATTCCGTGTAGTGTACCCGACCAGAGAATCTCCAAGTCGGACTAACAATCAGTTTCTCTACTATAGGACGTGATTCTGCCTTCCCTGGACACCGTCAAGGAAGTCCTGTCGAAGCCCACGGCAGGACCTAAGAAGCCAAACCTAGTCCCTCTATACGGTCAAATATCTGCCGACTTAATAACGCCATCTGCGGCGTATTTAAAGGTATCGGACCACTTCAAGACAGACTTCTCCTTCCTCCTAGAGAGTGCCGCTACAGAACAGGTTGGTCGATATAGCTTCATTGGTGCAGGTCCGCGCAAAATCCTGAAGACCGGGGAGGGTCATGGAGAATCGGTAGATCCGTTACCCGCGCTCGAGAAGGAGTTGGCGCAAAATGTCATGGCTGAGATTCCGGACCTCAGGCTGCCGCCCCTTATCGGAGGTGCCGTTGGCTATGTGGGCTATGACTGCGTCCGATACTTTGAACCCAAGACTGCGCGGCCTATGAAGGACGTCCTTCAAATACCAGAGTCCTTGTTCATGTTATTCGATACTATAGTAGCCTTCGACAGATTCTTCGGTGTCATCAAAGTTATCACCTACCTTCACATCCCTGAGAACCTAGATATCCTTGCGGATGAGTATGACAAAGCAACTGCCATCATTCACGAACTCATTGACGTCCTCAACCCCCCCGAGATACCCATACCCGAACAGCAGCCCATCAAGCTCGGCCAGCAGTATACGTCCAATATTGGTCAAGAAGGGTACGAATCACATGTAACCGAACTGAAGAAGCACATCGTTGTTGGCGACATCATCCAGGCTGTCCCCTCCCAGAGGTTTGCTCGCCCGACTTCGTTACACCCGTTCAACATTTACCGTCACTTGCGAACGGTCAACCCTTCTCCATACCTCTTCTATGTTAACTGCCAAGATTTCCAAATAGTTGGCGCATCTCCAGAACTGCTGGTGAAGGAGGAAGAAGGAAGGATTATTACCCATCCTATTGCCGGCACAGTCAAGCGCGGCAAGACGCCAGAGGAGGACGAGCGGCTTGCCAATGAACTTCGCAACTCACTCAAGGATCGCGCCGAACACGTCATGCTGGTGGATCTGGCGCGGAACGACATCAACCGGGTCTGTGATCCGCTGACCACGAGGGTTGATAGACTGATGGTAGTGGAGAAATTCAGCCACGTTCAACATCTTGTTTCCCAGGTATCAGGTGTACTACGACCAGGCCAAACAAGGTTCGATGCTTTCCGATCAATTTTCCCTGCCGGAACGGTATCGGGTGCTCCAAAGGTTCGAGCAATGGAACTCATTGCCGAACTTGAGAAGGAGAAAAGAGGTGTATATGCCGGAGCCGTAGGATACTTCGGGTACGGTAGCGTAGATTCCAATGGAAAGGAGACCGAAGGTGCTATGGACACCTGCATCGCCTTACGAACCATGTTGGTTAAGGATGAAGTTGCATATCTCCAAGCCGGTAAGCATTTGTCTTAAAATACTCTGATTTTTGGATTTGCTGATAATTGAAATAGGGGGTGGAATCGTCTTCGACTCGGATCCGTACGAGGAATGGATAGAGACGATAAACAAACTAGGAGCTAATACCCATTGTATTACATCGGCGGAAAACCTCTACGCAAAAAGACAGCAGAAATAGAATATATGATTTGTGCCCTAGTTTGACACGCCAGGAGAAAAGCAAGCTAACCAAGGCTTCAAACATTCAAGTTTGAACCCCGGATCTTTAAGTGGGAGAAGGTATATATCCTGCCTAAGTACTTAAACGATGTAGAAAAGAGCACAACAGGATGATGGACGAAAACTGTTCCATGGTAATTAAATCGATCGAGTTCAAGGGCGTGGGTGAGTATACAAAAAATAGATAGGGAACGGGGTTATCGTGGTCAACGGATTCCGTATAAGCCAGTTGTTGAATTGTTATTTTTACCTTAACACTGCTTCTTAGGCGTGTCCTATGCCGACTTATCTACTTCCGCCTAAAAAGCTCGGTGGTGTTTAGAGATGAGCCATCGCTACTCGCTAGCAACCTGGTGGATTCTTGACTTCTCATAATGTTTTATTATCTAGTACTAACAGTACTCTCTACCTATTCGTCAGCGTTTAGGGTCTTCGGTTAGGTTAGCTGTTGCTTCTCCTCGTCCCATACATGCCCAGACAAATCCTGCGCGGGCTCGACCTTGCGCATCCCGTCCGCCTTCTTGTACGTCAAAGTGTCGAGATCGATGCCGTAGAACGAGCGGGCCTGTATTGGTTATGCTTGTTAGCAGATGGGGTTTTCTGACCTCTGTTCTCTTTCGCTATATGCTATACACTATACACCACACACACACACACACACACACACACACACACACACACACACACACACCCTCTCTCATGCACTTACGCTAATACCATACACATGCTCCTTGAACACATCCAAAAAGTCGATGCCCAGGCTAGCACCGCACTTAGGACAGAACATCTGGTCCTTCTGCTTAGTGTTGAAGCGGTAGCTAGCGCATCGCTCCCGGCCGTTGTTATGCCATACGATATCCGAGGCCTTGGGGTCTAGGCCGGGTGGTGTGCGCTAGTTAGCGTCTGTACTGTCCCTACATAGATCCCACAGCTTGGGCAGCAACACCGTCCAGGCATAACAGGTAGGCAGCGGCGACGACTTACAGACGAGCAGATACCCCAGATGCGAGCACGCGGAACAGCTGCAGTCGAGGACCTTGTACGCGGGGAAGGGCGGCGATAGGGCGACGGAGAACTTGATGTAGCCGCAGTGGCAGCCGGCTTCGTACGTGCCCGTTTCTTTTCTGTCTTCTACCTTTTGCTCTGCGGCGGCGGCGGCGGAACTCATGATTTTATTTATTCCTCTCTCTCTCTCTCTCTCTCTGTCTTTTTTCGTCTTCGGATCTCTAGGGTTTAGGTAGGACTTGGAATTGGTACGCCGGCCGCGCACGTAAGACGAGGCGAGTGATTATTGTGTACGTTAGGTAGGTAAGTAGGTAAGTAGGTAGGTAGGGAGGTAGTTAACGGGTCGAGAAAGTCAAGTCTATAGACTCGAGGAGTAAGGAGTATAGTCCTTTTATAAATCTTATTTCTACGTGTGTAACTACCTTCATTAATGTATGTATTATTAATATACGAGTGCCTACCTACCCAGTTTAAACCAATCTATCTTACAACCCGCACTCCTTTTGTTACATACGGACATCCGCACGGGAAGGATCGAAGAACCCTGTCTTATTTATTTAATATATAAGGTGCGTACGTGTAAGATCTCGCAGTCGTCGAGGCTAGTATACACTTGAAGATAAGACTTGCATGCGCTATGCAGATGCAATTCCTGTATGAAGTCCTGTGCAGGGCGCGGGGCATTGAGGGGGGGATTCCGAATAAACGACTTTAAATAGGTAAACGCCCTTCTTGTACAACGGGCAGGGATTCAAAAATATTTGCTCTTAGGTAGGCAGTGTAGATCCTCCAGCATGCATGTACATCGAATAGTCCTAGGTTAGGTATGTAGGTACGTAATTAATGCGTCTCCAGGTCTCACACGTGTCGATCGATAGGCTAGAGGGCCTAGTCTAGGCCTGCCTCCCATGTAAGCCGTAAGCAAACAGGGCACGCCTTTTACAAATTAGGCAATGCATCTCGATATCATTGGCGCAATTTTAGGGTGGCGTGAACTCTGTGTAACGATACTTGACAACAATTTATACAGTTACTCTACATATGTATAGAGCTACTCTATAACTACTCTTAAGTGTAATTATAATTCCAAGACAACTCAACTTATATCTATATCAATATTTGAATCACAAGTATACATGTAAACAACGATTGTTAATGGTATTGATTATGGAATTATTACTCATAATGAGTTATAGTCGTAGCAACAGTAGTAGCTATATTCTACTTGAAAGTATATACAAGTTAGTTACCTGCCATCTATTGGTATTGGTATAGTTAAATTGCGTCGTTCATAACGCATCCATCCGTAACATCTATAAGTCTAAGCCCAGCCGTATGATCCACCCGGTATTTTTAATTCCTTTTTTTAATTCCTTTATGAATCCCGGGTATATTAATTAATAAAAAAGCGCTCCTAGGCCTTTTCGGTCTCGACATTAGTCTTTGGGGCATTTGACGCGGCAGCGTGGTCTATCGTCTCTCTGTCCACTGCCGTATCGTTACTGGAGTCGGAGGCAATGCCCGGTGTGTTCCCGGGAAGTGACGGGGCGAAGTTGCTCCTGGCACGGATCTTGTGACCGTATAGGTAGAACATGACTGGAATAGGTACCAGCAGAGCAGCTATGCAGCCTAGCAGCGTAGCCGCCCATTGGATTCCAAGCCCGTTGAACATATATGTTGCGAATAGAGGGAACCCGGCACCGCAAAGAGATCGGAGGAACGTGTTGCCTGCAATGGCCGAGGCGGCGAACATAAGATAGGCGTCAACAAGGTAGTTAAGAGCCTGAAGGAAAATACCCATAAGACCGAAGCCCGTTAGGATACCCGAAGCAGCGGGGACAATCCAATGAATGTCTGATCGGTAACCCGACCATCCAAACCAGAAGATACCGCCAGTGAACGAAACGCCACCAGCGATAACAATGGGGAGACGCCATTCGGGGATAGGTACGCCATTGTTGGCAGCCAACTTACGTTGGTATGAAGGCTGGTCGAGCAGCACTACGGTACCTGCTAGGAGTTGACCGATAATCATACCAAAGAAGGCCAGACCAGACTGACCGGAGCTGAAGTGGTGTATCCCCGTGAAAACAAAAGGATACGCCGTCAGGAAGAGATAAAGTAGCCCGTAAATGAAAGCCATATAAATGGAAAGTAGTGTGATAATTGGCTCGGTGAATAGAAGTCGCATGGGACGAGTGAAGTTCTTCTGGAGTAGCTCTTTGAAGTCGACTTCAATTTCCTCCTGCTTGGCGTGGATACCCCAATTCTTAGTACGACGACGTAACTCGGCCGCCTTTTCGATCAAGATCACAGGAGGGTAAGTCTCGCGCAAGAAAATCAGATCGAGGGCGAACGCAAACCAACCCATGATACTCGCGATGTACATGGTCCAGCGCCATCCGAGATGAGACGTCACAATGTAACCTCCCACAAAAGGAGCTAACAAAGGACCAGTAAAGACAGCCATGGAGAAAAGGGTGATGGCGACACCTCGAGTAGCATTGTTAAACATGTCCGAGAAGACGGCGGCAACGACAGCCAGCGGGCAAGCACCGCAGAAACCGGCAAAGAATCGGCAGATAAGAAGTGTCTGTAAATCCTTGGCCGTTGCGCAAGCAACAGAGAAAATCGAAAATCCGAACATAGCTATGACGATCGGTAGGCGTCGCCCCTTTAACTCGGATAGCGGCGCCCAGAATGTCGGGCCGGTTGCAAAACCGACCACGAATAAAGAAACACCCAATATGCCAACTTCGGAGCTGACGCCGAATTCCTTAGCCACATACGGTGTTGCGGCTGAGAAAATGCTGGAGGCGAAAGCAGAAGTCATTGTGGTGTAACCGAGCATAGCGGCTGTGAGTAACCTATAGGAACTCGGGTTAGAGAATTGCATATAGTTAAGATGGTTAAGATAGTTATAACTTACTTCTTTTGAAGCGACCAGTTCTGGGCGTGATAAGGGTCATCAGGACCATCAAACTCGACAACATAATCTTCTTGGTTGGGCAAAGGGGGCGGGAAGGGCTTCCCGGCCCCAAAGGCAGGTAACGGTTTTCTCGACTCACGGCTCCCAAAGCTTCGTCCAACGGTAGCACTGTGTTGGCTTCGGGCGGTATTAATACGGCTAAGTTCGGTAGGATGTCGTTCGAGGTCTCGTTGTGTGGGAATACGGCTCATACCGCCTTGGTTCCTGTGTGTTATACCGTCGTCACTGGAAGTCGTCGATATAGACGACGCCGAAACAACTCGTTCGACTTCATTACTGGCACGGCGGTACGAGTGCTCGGGGTTAGCCCTAAATGCAGTAGGAGAGACATGCCGTAAGGCATCTTCTTCAGCTCGGATGAGCTCGCGATCGACCTCGTCCATTGTTCAAGCGACAATGGGATATCTGACCACAACAATTATCAAAATAATATGTTTGTCACCAGATGGTTTTATAAAAGCTTTGTTGTGGTGGTGGTCAGAGTAGCAAGTAGAAGTTCTGCTGGGTGTAAATTACAAACAAAGGTATAGTTCGTTATACTCGAGAATAAAGAATAAAGAAGCAACGAGTAACTATAGTATGATAGTATAGTATGATATAATAGAACTACGCGCACTTGTACCGCGAAGAGGGGCTTGATGGGAATTGAAGATAAGAATAATGTAATAAACAAAAAATCTTCAGTTAGGCCACGGGGGGTACCCTGATAATAAAGGAAATGAAAGGAAAAAAAAATATTGTTCGAAATGGAACACCTTAGGTCGGGATTCAGAAAGCTCTAATATCTATTAGAGGCGATAATGCGAAGGGGTTCGGGATTCGCTTTTTGCCTTGGTCACAAAAAAAGATTGTGGATCTACTTAGCTAGGTACCTAGACAGGTCTTCTTCAATGACGAAGGATTGATCAGGGATGCAATATGCAAAGATTTCCACAGGGCCTATCGACTATGTACCTATCAACTATGTAGGTTAGGTACCTATCGACTAATAAGCAAGCCTAAATTCGCCGGGGGGTATTCGTTGGGCTGTACCTGCCTTCGGGATGGTGCATGAAACCGACCACCGTATTGTTTGATTCACTTATCACAGTAAAAAAAAAAGCTTGACTACCTTAGGTACCTACCTAGGCATTCCGCATTTTCTGGAAAGTACGCGAATGAACCCAATACCGCAGCCGCATCCATGTCCCGATCCATGCCCTCATCCCGTCGGCTTTATGACAGCATGACCGACCATTAATAACACCTGAAAACCTTGAGACTAGTAAGGCTGACTTATTAAGCAGCCTCCAAATAACTCGATTGTGCCTCTCTTATCTGCGTTCTCTCTGCTTACCTAAGTAGGGTAGGTAGGTGGGTAGATTTATTTTACCTCGAAGAAGGAAAAAAAAAATTTAAAAAATTTAAAAAAAAAGATGGAAATCTACAAATAGATCTCTTGAATATTGGTTTGTTAGGTATGCTTAAGTCAGATCCCTTGATAATCACAAAAGAACGGGACCCTTGTAAAGCAGCCGCACCTATTTTGACTTGTTCTAACCTGTTGGATGGAGTTGAGTAAATAACATGAAAAATTTCAGTAGGGGGGGCGACTGAAAGGGTAGAATGGGCCGAGGTGCAAATTAGAGAAGGGGGAAATAGTGCTACGATGGCGGGGCCTTCGTATCTAAGATCTTTTGATTCGTACCATTGACCATTGACCCCATTAAAAACCCCATTGAACGTGCGGTGTCGAGGATATGTCGAGGCCCAAAACTGCTCAAGCAAGAGTCGAGATTCAAGATCGGGTCTCAAAGATTGGTTTGTTAGCCACAGATCCTTGCTCGGCTCCTCTACCCGGTACGGTTTGAAGCGCTTCACAGCGGTGAGCTAACAATCAACAATTAAAAAAAAAAAAAAAAAAAAAAAAAAAAAAAAAAAAAGACTTTTGTAATGTAACCTCCCATAATCACATATACTATGTACATACTAAGAAACAGAGAAAAAATCAGCCTCGGCTCGTTAATGCCGAGAAAAATAGTATACGTAAACACACGTAATAAATACAATAATAAAGGTTGCAAGTAATGCGTAACCAAGAGAAACTACTACATACCTACCTTGTACAGGTCACTAGGATCTTCAATGCTATTTGGTGGAGATGTTACTTAAAGCAGTTAATAAGTATTATACTGTTTTATTTATATAACAAAATATAAACCTATTCGAATATTTTAGCTTAGTCTTTACTTAAACAGGTAATTTTAAATAGTAAAAGTTACCTAAATATTACGAAATATATTTACAATTATATTTTGCCATAATATTTCGAATGTTTTAATACTTTTCTCCTTTAAGTAACATCTTTACTAAATAGTCTTGGACATCTTAGCGACTTGTAGGCACCTAAGGTAACTAGGTAGTTACAAAATATCATAGCAAACATATTCACACCGGTCACGACCTATATACGATATCTAGTTTTTGTAGATCATTTCTCCAGTTATACGTCAATGAGACGTAGAGTATACAGTAGTGACAGAGTGAAAGTACATACCCGAACACCGGGTTTCCATATTTGTCATGTATGTACATACGGTCAACGCTGCGGCTCTCCTTCCGGGCACCGGGTGGGTAATTCGCTAGGCCTAAGTAATAGTTTGGTGCCCATCATACCACCATGTCGATTAGTATACATACATAGCAGCTAACTCCGATGTACATAATGCCACTGCGCTTACTCGTGCATAACTCTAGTTGATAATCAGATAAACAAAATTTGTGGGAGGGCTCACTTGGGACGATCCACCCAGTTGGATTTGTCAGTCTAAATCTGCAGTAGATCGGGTTTGTTTGTAAACCCGGTTCGAACTACATCATTTCTCCACGGCCGTGCCGATTTGGACGGTGACTCGGAGATGGTGTTAGCGGGGATAAGCCACCGTACGGCGTAACTAATCCTATCTAACGTCAGGTAGAGCGTAAGTTAAAGCTGACTGCGGTTGTACATTGATAGATGGCAGCACCTGCAACCTTAACTTTACCACGAGGACGGGACGCACGGCGTCAGCTTGCGTTATCCTCTTTCGTGCATGGGATCGGTCATTTGCATAGCCGCCTTACACCGAAATCGCTTTTCCGACGGGAACGTAACCGTTAAAAGATTATGCACCCTCTCAATACGAAAAACTACAGACCGCGGCTATTTTACGCCCCAGCCGGTTTCTAGCAAACAAGTGGCTTCTTCGAGAGTTAATCCCGCCGTTTCCGGATATATCTTCCAGACAACATACCAGCCAACAACGCAAACGACGCCATATAAACCAAACGTTAACGAAGGGGTTAATAAGTCCATCCTACTGTAAGTCAGTTTTTACAGTGATAAATAGAGGTTATAGATTTAGTTATATGCGGCCGTTAATTACGAAACTGTTGGTAGGTACTCACTATAAGATGTGTTAATAGGTTGAACTTCAATAACAATAAAAGTAGTAATTGCAGCTGTCTGGATATTGAGTACGTACCAATGGCAAGAATGTCAACCCAACGATAAAATTAGCTAACCAGTTTGTAGCTGTCGCTAGTCCGCTGCCAAGTGAACGTACGTTAAGCGGGAAGAGCTCGCTTTGCATCCATGGCACATTGCCAAGTCCGAGAGCGTAAGCCGCGACGTACGTCATGATACTTACTAGAATAATAATGGCAGCACCTCGCGAGGGTATTGAGACGGCGTTGGTAACAGGTGCATCGCCACCGGCATTGGTATTGCTAGACGGTAGTTTAAGCAAGCTGAAACCAAATGCTGACATGAAAAGGCCGATTACCATGAAAGGTAATGAGTATAGCAAGATCCGTCTACGACCAATGCGGTCGATTGTAAGCAGTGCAAATACGGTAAAAACAAAATTTGTGGTAGCGACTGTCAGTGATGTGAGCGTCGGGACTGAGAATCCCAACATGGTGAAAATTGTGGCAGAGAAATACATCAATGAGTTCTTCACGATCGGTTAGAATAGGCGCTATAGGAGGGGGGTGATGACTTACAAAACCGCAAAGCTGTTGTAACCCCTGAAGCAAGCAAGCGATAACCAGTGCTCGCCGGTTTTTTGGCACGCTGAGAAGCTCATTCCATCCCTTAAGCCATATACTACTCTTCCTGCCTCCATTATTAGCCAATGCTATATTCCCGTGCTCTTCCCTGAGCTCCATCTCAATATCTTTCACAACGCTATCAATTAATCGGCGAGAAGCTGGGTCGTATCCTAGCGTCTTTTCGATGACGCGCCGAGCATCTGCAGACTTTCCAGCTTTCACCAGCCAGCGAGGAGTATCGGGCATGAATAACAGAAGAAGGCATTGCAGTGCAGCTGGCAGAGCCCCTAAGCCGACCATCCATCTCCATCCTATAGAGGGATCGCCATGCTCAGCAAACATCCATCCAATAACGTAAGCTACAACTTGTCCAGCAGTAATCGATAGCACGTTCATCGTTACGAGCATACCACGGTAAGCCGGCGGAGCTAGCTCGGCAATGTATAACGGTGTTACAAAGCTCGCGGCGCCCACGGCGGCTCCGACTATCGACCGTCCAAGGACCATACCCGATACAGTGTAGCTCATAGACTGAACCACGGCCCCAATTACAAAGAGCAGATCCGATAGTAGTATAACGGGTTTTCGACCGAAGTAATCGGCGAGGATGGACGAGATCGGGGACAAGATAAGGGCGAATAGCGCAGTGCATGACGTGATGAGAGATTTATCGAGGGAGTTTAACATCCTCCCGGACAGCGAGGTGCCCATCGAAACCAACGTGGCCGAAATTACTCCTGTATCGTCTTTCCATGTATAAGCAGTTGCGCAGGACGTTGAAAAGTGCGATACCTACATCCGAACAGTAGTCCGCTAATACAAGCGGACAGAGTCAAGAGCCATATGAAAACGCCCAGGCGACCAGCAGGCCATTCGAGAATCGTATCCTCGCTATCTGGTGACACTTCCTCTTCTAGTTCGTCCTCCTGATGCGATAGCAGGGGAGCCTCGGCCAGGCTTGTCATATTGAGATACCACTAGTGCTAGTCGCCACTATATTAACTCATAATTGTATTAACATGTTTCCATGAGAGTCGCTATGGTTTCAAGCACAGAATCATTTGTGGGTTGTCTTTAGGTGTTAAGTGTTAGTTATACTAATAAATGTTGAAGTAGTACAGTTTGTAGTACAGTTTGTAGTACAGTTTGCAGTCGAGCACGCGACGTCAGCGGTCCGGCTAATTTTCGGCCTCCAAGGTTCACAGGGCAGAAGCTGCTGTGTGACATTACACAACATAACACAACATATTAGTATGTAGTGACCCGTGCTTTAGGTACCTTCTAGTATATCATGTACCGGGCAATCTCGAATCACTTACAATACATTTACATACAAACTTAGTCCTCGAAATATAATTAAAACTTATTACCAGAAGGTATCAATACTGAACCAACCGACAACACCACCACTAAGAAACAAGCCCAGAACAACGATGTAAAGACGACCCTATCTTGTAAAGCTCTCAGATGTCTGTTATGGTTTACCACAGAGACGTCAAATATCCTCTGCCAGATCGGCTTCTGTCGATACAACTCAACCCACGTATCTAGCGTTTTGCTTTCGGGGGAGCTTCTGCTATTGCCCAATTCTATTTGTCCAGCGTTTGCTCCCGAATCCACGCTTTCGAGTTCCGAGCTCGTGACTTGCTCCCACGGGCGCAATTGTCTCTTCTGGTTCATATATAGCCTGGCGCTTATTCCGCGTCCTTCTATTAATAAGATGTAGAACCCGGCGTACCACAGAGGCACGGCAGACAGTCGGCATAGGCGGTTGGCTTTGGAGAGAATGAGGATTATGTTTAGTATGATGGCTAAGATTATTAGGATAACGCTCGACGCCCTCGCGCACAGAACCCGCGAGGGGCTGGTATTGCAAGTGCTCCAGCGGATGAAGTTGGGATGGCTATATCTTCGCAACTCTGTCTCAGCTGCCAAAAAGGCTAAAAGAAAGCTGGACGGGTGTGTCGTATGTTGCAAGGCGTGGAAACAAGCACTTCGGTCTTCATGGGACAGGTTCAACTTCCGCGGTCCAGAGGTCGATATGTACTGGCGAGTTACTTCTGTGACCTCGTCTCGGAAAGGCTGCGCTGAGACTTTTCTCACATTAGCAGCAGGACGGTTCGAAGAGACGATGCCTCTACTCACAAGGTTGCCATCGCCACTCGTCTTGAGCACCGTCCTTTACCCCTGATGAAAGTGCTAACGCTCGCGGCTTTGAGGAATCTATGTCTACACCAATCTTGGATTCCGGCTTACTGCCTAGCATAACTTCTTGTGTTGCTGTCGGTGTGTCTCCGTCCAGAACTGTAAGTGTTCGGTTTAGCTTGTCTATCCTCTCCTCCATCTTTATCGACCGCGGACGTGGCTTCATATATACCCTCTTCCCTAAACCCCATACCGGTAATCTTTCTCTCTCAGATCTAGGCAGTTGAGTCCATCTCTCGACATAGTCACAATACCACAGGAAAAACTGAAGATTCTCTGCGCTTCGCTCTATATACATTAGATAGTTCATGAAGTCGTCCAAGGAGCATGGCTTATTTGCATATTAGTACTATACATAAGTCATATTACGGTGCGTACTGACCGAGAATGCCTTTCCCCTGATTATATTTTCAAATGATAGCTCCGCCGGGATCTTTCTCTTGAATATTATTATATTCTTCGAGTATGGGGTAAGTATTGATTCCGCCATCGAGCCTTCGGCTTGGGTATCGAAGCCGGTCGCACAATACAAATAACAGCGGATCTTCTCATCCTAAAAGGTACAGATGATCTACAAAGTAGAGAATTCCACGTACTACATCAACCCAATGAAAGAGCATCCAAATATTGTCGAGGAATACCCCGGGAAGACAAAACCTGCATATTGAAGACTGCCCCTCACATCCTAGAACCACTCCTGTGCATGGAATAAATGACACTACCCTTGATCCAAGCGAAACAGTTACATACATCTCTCGTAGAGACATCGACATCCTTGTCTGGTCACATCCGAGCGCGAGCAACCTTAATTCGACCGTAAAGCACTTGCATATTGGGCGATTCAGTTGGATGAGTTAGCATCAAGTACGTCAGATCAAATGGTGTATAACCCGCAAGAAGAAATTGTCCCGAGAACCTCAAACTGTACCTGTATTCCGCAATTAAGAACATCAGATCATGTCCAATTCCTCCAAGTTTCATAATATACCACGAGAATAAAATAGAGAGTACCGGCAGGAAGTAAAAGAGTTACATTTTAAAATATACATGTACTAACTAACTAAATTGTGAGGAAAGCATGGTATTGCTATGCATACCGTGAATGCGATACAATTTGAGAATGTGCTGCACAACTACCCCCTTTTCGTCACTCCAAAGGCCCCCCACGGTATAATGGCCAAGGCTCAACCCCTGGTCCTCAAGCGAACAGTTTTAACCACCCCTTAAAACCATCACATATGACAACACAAGAGCGAACCCAAAGACAAACATCTCCAACAACGGGTAGCTAGAAAAGCCAAATGCGGGCTTAATCCCCTTTAGCCCACCGCTCTGCCCCGTTTCTGCTATCTTGACCGTCGTGACCGTGACCCCGCCGACTCCCGTCCCTACTCCCAAGACAGTAGTAGTTCTCGTGATAGTCGTAGGCGGGCCGCTTAAAACGTTGGTCGCGAGCCCCGGCTCCGCACGGTATACCTTCAGACACCCGTCTTTAGTACACTCGGTGTTCGGCGCGCAGCAGCCGCCCCCGATGCTCTTGTTGCAAGGGCTCATCCGTCCGTCGCAACGCGGTGGCTGGACTTCGCTGGCAAGGCATTGATATTCGCCCGAGCAGCAGTAGACGCCCGACGGTGAGAAGTTGCTCGAGTAGCAGATCATTCCGACGGGGCAGCATATATTCTTCGTTTCTCGTTAGATTACCTACATCTACACCATCATCCCCCCTAGGTGATGATACAAAGCCGAAGAGAGGAGCCAGTATAAGGATATAAGAAAAATACGAACAGGTTGATCATAAGCCTCGCAGCTATCCCTCTTCTCACCGCACGCATTGACACTCACGCCTCTTGGGACGACAGGCGGGGTGTCTGGGCCCTTGGGCTGGCCGTCGGTAGACTTGGCCTTGTCTTTCAGCAGGAAGGCGCCGCTCGAGTAGTACATGGCGTCGTAGTAGACGGTGAAGACGACGCCGGTAATCAGTACGCCGACGACGATTACGACGAGCGAGATGAGAAATATCCATCTCAGCGTAGGCCGGTTCTGGAACGGGCACTACCGATGCCAGTCGAGCTTGGCTCGTAGGCAGTTTTCGTTCTTGATGTTCCAGGCTTTGCGCTTGTGGCTGTCGCAGTGCTCGTCGGCGGCTGCTACTGAAGGCTGTTGTGGTTGGGATTGGCTTTCTTCTGCCATGTATCTGAATGAGAATGATGGGACTATTAGAATATCTAGGATTGCGATCAGATACTAGATGCACTTTTGCACTTTTGAATCGGAAATCTTTTAGGTGATACTAGGAGTTTTAGGTGTAGGTGGAAATGAGGGTTGGTAGAATTATTATCTAAGACGCTTCGTTCAAGATCTATATATGTAAGCAAGTAGTACCTGCTATATAGGTACCTGCTATACAGAGGGCAGACATTATATATGACAGGTACTTTCCCGTGAGTGGAAGGCTTGAATTGGAATCTATGGAAGGAACAATGTTCTCACTGGAAACACTAACAACTTATTACATGTTGGACAGTCAGAGACTGGCTTAGGCACTGTGCATGCATTTACCTAAGGAGTACATGTACATGCCTTCTTCACATCTTAGAAGTATAAACGTACGATAATCACATTATAGCAAAAAGTCCCATAATCAATCAAGTCAAGCGTATCAAAGGGTATCAAAGGGTATCACAGCCAAAGCGGCGTTTTATTTAGTTGGTATCAGGAAGTTGGTCTTCCTTGGCTGTGTAATTGTTGCTTCATGACAATCATGATGTCGTTTATCTGGAAACCTCTAAGCTCATCCTCCTCGTATGCAAGTCGAAGCACATTCCTCGCAGTCATCTTCTGAACTGTATCATCTAAGCATGTGCAAATGTCCACAGCAGACGCCCATAATTAGGTAATGGACTAGAGCTATCCAACGCAAGACAATAAACGCCGTGTACAATGCCTTGCGGATGCTGAATAAACTTCCCCAACCGAGTAGTCGAAAGGAAGAATTAGGTAGGACCTGACGAATAGTGCCGACCATAAAACCTCCCGTGTAGGATTAATTAAGGGAAGGCACGGCGGAATGGAACGTCAGGATCGAAAAAAGTTGTACTTCTAGAATCTTTCCATCGAATTGAAGTTGAATTAAAGCCATAATGTAAATACCATCATCACACCTACAAGGCCAGCACCCATACCGGCAATCTCCTTCGATCCAGAGACGGCATTCTGAGTTTCTGACGGATCAGCACCGGCAGCCGTACCGGTAGCACTAGGCACGGACGAATAAGTGCTGGCGGTAAGCGTTGCTCCTAAACTTGGGACGGCGACGTTGCCATTAACAAGCCATCCGCTGGCGGTTGAAGTTGGGCAAGCACGGGTCGAGACCGACTTCGTGTCGTATTCTGATTTGGGAACTCCAGTGGGTGTGATACTCGCCCAGTGCTTGCTGAGGTTGTCGAAATCAGGTTTGACAGGTGTCGGGGTACCTGCACGTGTGAAGCCACCGACGATATCCTTACCAGTGACAGTAGGGTCGACCTTGGGACCGTACGAAATTAAACCGTATTCGTTGGCTTCCTGGATCCATTCGTACACGATAGCTCCACTCCAGTCATTCACCATTTCGGGGCCGAATATAGCGGCTTGGTCGTCGAACAATCGCGGACCAGGCTTATTGCATCCAGTCTCGGTAAAGAAAATGGGCACGGGAAAGTTCTTAGCCTGCTCTTGCAGGTTGGCGTAACCCGAGGTCTGATAGTCGGTGGGATCGCACCATTGGTATGAATTCAAGCCGTAGAAATCAATGTTCTCGGACGAGTTTCCTCCACAGGTAAGATAGTCTTGTAACCAAGGTCGAAGCTCCGCAATATCAGTAGCAGAGTAACCAATTGGGATCTTGCGGTATCCCTTCGAGTCTCTATATGCCTTCAGATCACGAGCGCTTGCCTTGATAAACGGTGCGGCCAACGATTGATTGTTGATGGCGATAATCTCATTTCCCACAAATAAGCCTAGTAGATTGTCATAGTCATGGAATGTGTCCATAACTTTAGAGAAGGCGTCGAATTGGGTTTGGTTCCACCACGGATCATTCTAAAGAAATTCAGTACTGGTCAATTCGAAGGAAGACTAATAAAAGTCTTTGAAGATTTGAGCTTACGGGCAAGATGTAGGTGTTGAAGGTATCCATGTCTACCATGGCATAGATACCAGCGTCGGCGAAAGCAGACATGCAACCGTCATGGTCCGCTTTCGGGTCGACGTGATAGACACGAATGGCGTTGGCACCCAGTTTCTTCATGAGAGAGGCATCCCGCTTACATTGCTCAGTATCGACCAACGGGTCCTCTGAATACAAGTTAGTATTATAAAACGATTTGTCTGACTGAATTGCGCATGTTTCGAGGCGTGAACTTACTCTCGGTGAGTTGATAAGCAACTCCTTTTATGAAGAATTGATCGCCATCACTTGTAAAAAACTTGCCGCCGACTGCCTCAACTGTCGGTATGGCATATGACAGCGTAGCGCTGCATAGCGCTAGAAGCAGTGAAGAGCGCATGGTATTGGATCGAGAACGACTGTACGGTAGCAATGTAGATTATGATGCTTGAAAAATACTTGTGAAGCTCGTGATAAAACCCTCCACGGTTCTGCGACTACTGGAAAGCTTGAATAGTAACGATGGTCGAACGAGTGTGAGTCGAGTCGTTAGGGATGAATCCTGGTTAGCGAGAGCTAGAAAGAGTATCAATGTCCGGAGTCGAAACGAATGCGCTCCAGATCAAACTTGGCAACGAACGGACAAGCGAATGTTTACGATTTTCCCCTTTTCGATTTTAACTCGACCAAATCTCTGCAGCTCTACTCCGATGCGTGAAGAGAAAAGAAAAGGTTGAAGAATCCAGAGAAGAAGAAGCTTAGAAATATAAAGGTGATGTAGCGTCAGTAAGGAGCCATCCTAGCCTGTACCTACATATCAAACGCACACTAATCGAAGAAGCGGGTCCTTCTCCTAAGCAACCCCTTGTAAATAGTGTAGGTACCTAGGTACATACAAGAATATTTACCTAGATTTTTGGGGAAGCTTGATCCAAGCTTAGCACAAGCTTTGATCCAATAGGCTGAAAGTCCACTGGCAGCCACTGGCAGCGAATGGCAGCGAATGGCAGACCAGCGGCTTTAGACCGAACTGGAGCTTGGCATCGGTTTGTAGATAAGATTTGGTGCTTTTTACACACTAGTGTCCACAGGTGCATATGTAAAGGTCGGAAATCAAGGATAAAAAAGGATCGACAAGGCCATCCCCTGTCATTTGTCCCGGCGAAAAGAAAATTCAGAAAGAACGTCTCCCGTCGATTGGTGACTATTATCTAGTACTATGTCACTAACATACGTAGTAAAACGTAGACGCGTATGCTATTCAATTCGAGCAATGAAGACATTGGCTAAAATATTGTATACATACCTACTCGAGGTAGGTGGTGCTGCAAACAGTTGCATCATTATTGGCTCATTATGTCGTGGGGTTCCGTGTTTCAGACTTTTTATTCAGACGTGCTGCTCAAGCCTTATGATAGGAGAGATTTGGAGGTATTTATATGTAGGTATAGTACATATTTACCGTTGCACAGATCTACATACATTATTTGGGCTGCTTCGGTTAGGTATGTAGTTTGCAGGTACATATTTTGCAGGGATACGCAATAAATCCTTCAAGCTTCATCTTTAATACTTTTTTATACATACCTTCACAAGATATTATATAGAATAAGGTTAGATCCGAATTGTGGCTTTTTGATCAGCTAACCATTCGGGAGTATCCTTAGTTGCTTACTTAGACAGAGTTACCTAACCTAGAATGTAGTAGAGTCAATTATATATGTACTAATGCGGGTTCAATGCTCATGCAACCACGCAGCTTTCTATGTACATACCTAGCCATACCTTTAACATGTAAGTAAACGAAGCGCAGACATGCCTCCTAAACTACCCGCCTATTTGTGCATCATGACGTAGTGAAAGGATAAGCTTAGGTATAATATCAACCATTATTATTATGATGCTTATGTACGTGGTAACGTGAATTAGGTAGCATAATTCCCTTAAAACAGCAATCCGCAAGTAGATCTTACGAACTGGAAACAATCGTATTCCTCGTTCACTTGCCACGCTCTGAGGTGCGGTTGGATCAAGTCTCGTTGCGAAGAGAAACATACCTTATTATTTTAGGATACGTTACACTGCTTTTTATATCTTCCGATTATAAAGTGTAACAATATAGTATCTGTTTATAGTACCTGTTGTAACAGAACAAAGAGTGGAATCCGTATAGGCTGTGTACATAAGTACATAGAAGATGCAAAATGGTATCGATAAGAGCAATGATAAGACCGATAAGGTTTATCGAAGTAGAACAGATGGTTGCCAGCCGGCAAAGTGGGATATTGACTTTGATCTTTTTTTCTTCTTCTTTCCTATCGCGTTGAATGCGCTATCAGCTTCAACATTGCGATACCTTCGTGCTTCGCAATCATGGTAAGTCGCGCATCGTATCTACTTGCGCTATGGCACTTCTAACTCCTATCATAGAAGATCAAAGCATTAACCCGCTCAACGGAGGCGTACCAACCCGCCGGATCTGATGTTCCGAAGGTAAATTCTCCAGCTTGGAAAACTCTACACTTTGCTGTTCATGTCTCTTACTAGTTTCAAGGCACCTCGCAACCTAGACCCCGCGATTCATCCGTTCGAAAGAGCACGAGAATACACGCGTGCCCTCAATGCTGTAAAGCTGGAGCGCATGTTTGCTCAGCCATTTATCGCACAGCTTGGAAATGGGCATGTTGACGGCGTTTACTCCTTGGCGAAGGATCCCAATTCTCTCGACAGATTTGCCTCTGGCTCGGGCGATGGCGTTGTAAAATGTTGGGGCTTGACGAGCAGGGACCAGGTCTGGAAAACAACCGCTCACGAGAATATCGTGAAGGGCATGGCCTGGACGCCAGATCAGAAGCTTCTTACGTGCGCGGCTGATAGGTCGGTAAAAATTCACGACCCTTATAATACACGTGACGATTCTCCGCCCATTCACTCTTGGCTCGGTACGAATGCCTTCACAAGTTTGAGTGTTCATAGAGCGAAGAATGCATTTGCGGTCTCTTCCGATGTTATATCTGTCTACAACCTCGACCAGTATACAGCTGCGCCAGAAGTTCTTCGCTGGCCCTCATCTGGCGAAACAATTAATTCCGTCTCCTTCAATCAAAGCGAGACTTCGGTTCTCGCATCTTGCTCTACAGATCGCTCGATTATCCTATACGACCTCCGAACAGCCTCGCCTCTCGCACGCACCTTTCTCAACTTTAGCTGCAACAAACTGTCTTGGAATCCGGTAGAGCCGATGAACTTTGCAGCGGCGAGTGAAGATCATAATGTGTACCTGTTTGATATGCGCAGGTTTGACCGAGCACTGAACGTACTCAAGGATCACGTGGCGGCAGTGATGGACGTGGAATTCTCCCCGACCGGACAAGAGCTCGTTACAGCTTCATATGATCGGACGATTCGATTATTCAACCGAGACCAGGGTCATTCAAGGGATGTATATCATACGAAACGAATGCAGCGAGTTTTCTGCGCTCGATGGACGCCAGATTCCAAGTATGTCCTAAGTGGATCGGATGACGGAAACATTCGCCTTTGGAGGGCAAATTCCTCCAAACGAGAGGGTGTGAAATCCGCAAAACATCGACAAGCACTCGAATACAATGAAGCATTATCCGAAAGATATGGTCACATGGTATGTTCCAAACGTGTTTTCTATCTTGATAAATAGATTACAGAAGTATGTGCTAACATAGATGACAACAGCCTGAGGTAAGACGTATCAAGCGTCATAGACATCTTCCAAAGGTTATCAAGAAGGCAAGCGAGATTAAGAAGGAGGAACTCAGGGCTATTAAGCGGCGGGAGGAGAATGAGAGGAAGCATACAAAGAAGCAATTCGAGAAGAGGAAGAGTGAACGTGATAAGGTAGTCTTAGCACGAGAGAAGTAATGGCGGATGACACTTTGAAGGAAGTAGTTGCCAGTTAGATATTTATGAACTGTATTTACAAGGCGTTAAGGGGTAGGGAAGACTTCGATACCAGGCACGACATCGATATGTTGCGTCCACATCCTTGCAACAGATCAAAATATATATTCATTGTGGATTTCTACATAACTTTAGTAAGAGAAAAGCGAGTGACTACCCGATATTTGCTAAGGTATATATATATATTAGGAGGCGACCGCGCCAAGTTGAATTACTCTAGCGCGTCAAGCTAGGGTTATACACAAGCAGAAAATCGTCGACTAATGCCACATAGATGTACGTAGTGGCTAGTGTTTAAGCTTCATGAGTGCATGCACGAATAAATATATAAAATCGGTAATAGGCAGATAGGCTATAACTACACGAAAAAGCGCTTGATAACTCTTACATAGCGAGACCCCTGTTATTTAGGTTAGATGGGTACAGCCGATTGGCTGAGTGTAATTGGAACCTGCCTTAGTCGAAACTTACGACGCTTGGGCCATTTGTTTCAAGCGCCCAGGAGCTTTTTTAGAAGCTGAGCTGAAAGTTGCGACGACTGAGCGGACACAATTTATGGACACGGGGCCGGTCCATTGAATTTTAGTTCCTTCATCCTATCTTCTACCATTCGATTCATCCTTTCTTACAAAGGACACCTAATTAGAGGTGTATACGTTTCTTTTCTCTGTATTATTCAAATTTTGAAGTGCTTGCTGGCCAGCATTCGTCTCCTCAACTGTCCGATACCATGGATCATCCTCGACCATCAACACACGAATCGTGGTGGGCACCCATCTCCGTCGATGTCCTCCTCAAGGTCCTCAACGTTACGCTGCTACATCCATTCGTAGCATGGATCATTCCTCTCTGCTTTCGCGCCGAGCACCAGGCTTGGAACACCAACCCTATGGTTGTTAGCATTACGTGGGCTACATTCGTCACTTTCCTATGGATGGGAAATGTCATAAGTCATAAGATCGCGTATGGAATGCACCGGGAGGTCGACTTGACTGAGGAGGTCATTGTAATAACGGGCGGTGCTAGCGGTCTCGGTCTGTTAATTGCTGAGGTATACGGCATGCGAGGTGCTACCGTCGCGGTTTTGGATATCGCCGAATTAGAAAGTACAGAAGCTCGCGGCATTACTTATTATAAGTGTGACGTACGAGATAAGGCACAGATTGCTAGAGTTGCAGCAGAGATAGAGCGCGATGTGTGTATTATATTCCACCAGTGCGCATATGACTCAACTAATATGACTTCCAGCTCGGAACACCTACCGTCCTAATCAATAATGCTGCCGAGGTTGTTGGCAAGAAGCTGCTCGATATGGATCTAGAGGAAGTCGAGAAGAGTATTACAACGAACCTCCTGTCGCACTTCTACACTATCAAGACGTTTCTACCGGGGATGATTCGTAATGAGACCGGCGGCACCATTGTAACCCTCTCCAGCGTTATTGGTCACCTCGGTGCAGCTCGGCTCACAGACTACGCTGTTGCCAAGGCCGGAGTGACGGCTCTGCACAAATCTCTCGCTGCTGAGCTGCAGGAATATCCAGAGATCAAAACTATCCTCGTTACGCCAGGCCAGCTAAGCACACCACTCTTCTACGGCGTGAAGACTCCCAATCCTTTCATCGCCCCGGTGGTCGAGCCCATAGATGTGGCTAAGGAGATAATAAAGGCTATCGATCTCGGCTTAAGCGATCACATCGGCATGCCCCTCTACGCGCGCTGGGTAGATTGGTACAACGTGTTGCCGGTGGGTCTCCAGAA